ATACAGACGTCTACACCGAAGTAGACGAAAAGGCAGAGCACTACGGACCCGCTCCAGATGGTGCACAGGCCCGACGTGGTGCGCGAGACGCAGTCATGACCAAGAAGGAGGTTCGCCTGATCAACGGTGAACTCATTCTCGAGTGCAAGATCCCCACCATTCTCTACAGTTTCCTTCCGCGACGAGACGACATTGAGTTTACACATATGCGATATACGGCCGTTACTTGCGACCCCGACGACTTTGTGGACCGTGGCTACAAGCTGCGCCAGAACATTGGCAACCCACGTGAGACAGAGGTCTTCATCGCCATTACCATGTACAACGAGAATGAAATCGACTTTACCCGTACCATGCACGGTGTCATGCAGAACATTAGCCACTTTTGTTCTCGCATGAAATCCAGAACTTGGGGCAAGGACGGATGGCAGAAGATTGTCGTGTGCATCATCGCGGATGGTCGTGGAAAGGTTCACCCTCGAACGTTGGACGCCATTGCTGCCATGGGCTGCTTCCAGGAGGGTATTGCGAAGAACCACGTCAACCAGAAGGAAGTCACAGCCCACGTCTACGAATACACGACCCAAGTCTCTTTGGATTCCGACCTCAAGTTCAAGGGAGCCGAAAAGGGTATCGTGCCATGCCAGATGATCTTCTGCTTGAAGGAACGAAACTCCAAGAAACTGAACTCGCATCGTTGGTTCTTCAATGCCTTTGGACGCGCGCTCAACCCCAATATTTGCATCTTGCTCGATGTTGGAACCAAGCCAGGCCCCAAAGCGCTCTACCACTTGTGGAAGGCCTTTGACACAGACTCTTCGGTCGCTGGAGCAGCTGGTGAGATCAAAGCTGGCAAGGGCAAAGCCTGGCTCGGTCTTCTCAACCCGCTAGTTGCATCGCAAAACTTTGAGTACAAAATGTCCAACATTCTCGACAAGCCGCTGGAGTCGGTCTTTGGCTATATTACTGTGTTGCCAGGTGCACTGTCGGCCTATCGCTATCACGCGTTGCAAAACGACCACACTGGACATGGTCCCCTCAGCCAGTACTTCAAGGGAGAGACACTTCACGGTCAAGATGCAGACGTGTTCACGGCCAACATGTACTTGGCTGAGGATCGTATTCTGTGTTGGGAGCTTGTGGCAAAGCGAAGCGAGCAATGGGTTCTGAAGTATGTCAAGGCGGCCACCGGAGAGACGGATGTGCCAGGTAAGACGATTACTCATTGCTCTCTGCATCATCATCATCTACTAACATGTTTGCAGACGCAGTTCCCGAGTTCATTTCCCAGCGTCGTCGCTGGCTGAACGGTGCCTTCTTTGCTGCCGTGTACTCACTGCTCCACTGGAAGCAGGTGTGGGCCACTGACCACACGATCTGGCGCAAGATCCTCCTCCACATCGAGTTTGTCTATCAGTTCGTCCAACTGCTATTCACCTTCTTCTCCCTGGCCAACTTCTACCTCACCTTCTACTTCGTTGCTGGCTCCCTCGCTGATCCGGAAATGGACCCATTCGGACACAACGTTGGCAAATACATCTTTTACATCTTGCGTTACACATGCACGCTACTCATCTGCATGCAGTTTATCCTGTCCATGGGTAACCGACCTCAGGGTGCAAAGAAGATGTTCTTCTGGAGTATGGTCATGTATGGCATCATCATGGCATACACGACTTTTGCTTCCTTCTACATTGTCATTGTCCAGCTCAAAGATCCAAAAGCCGAGAAGTCGATAGGCTCAAACACCTTTACCAACCTCATCATCTCAACAGCAACCACTATTGGCCTCTACTTTCTCATGTCGTTTATGTATCTGGATCCCTGGCACATGTTTACTTCGAGCGCGCAATACTTTGCTCTCCTGCCTTCATACATTGCAACGCTCCAGGTATACGCTTTCTGCAACACGCACGACATTACATGGGGAACCAAGGGTGACAACGTGGCAAAGACAGATCTTGGAGATGCCCGCGCAAAGACAAAGAACGTGGTCGAACTCGAGATGCCATCCGAGCAACTCGACATTGACAGTGGCTACGATGAAGCGCTTCGTAACCTGCGTGACCGCGTCGAAGTGCCCGAGCCCCCGATTTCGGAATCGCAACAGCAGGAAGATTACTACCGCGCTGTGCGTACATACATGGTTGTCATCTGGCTCATCTCCAACGCCATTCTTGCCATGTCCATCAGTGAAGCTTACGGCAACCGCAAGGTCACCAACAACTTCTACCTCACGTTCATCCTGTGGGCTGTCGCTGCTCTCGCCGTCTTCCGTGCCATTGGATCTACCACTTTCCTCATCATCAACTCGATCCATGCCATCATGGAGACGAAGCTCAAGTGGCAGGACAAGATTGACGACAAGAAGAGCAACAGGACTGGTCTTGGTGGTGGCAGGAAGTATGGCAGGAACAAGTGGTGGAAGTTTGGTTTCGGTGGCGGCGTGTCATCCAGCTGGTTTTCAGGCAGCACAATCTCAAGCAAGCTTAGTAGCATGGCGCCTAGCAACTGGGGTGGCAGCAGCGTGGGACGCTAGACGGGCCCTGCTTTAATTCTCACGGTAAGTAATGTGAAAAGTGAGTACAAGGTTTACGAATTTTACGAGTAAGCTGTTTTTGTGGGCGATTTTTTTTGTTTTATGGAGATGAATTATTGGAATGATACCTGGAACCTGGAGACGCGAATGGTTATGTCGCGCATATGTATATAGTTTCTACTAATGACGATGAGTAATGCTCGCCAATTGAATGAAAGCCTTTTTTTAAATAGTTTGCAAGACAAATTACTTAACTATGTACTTGTCGTTTCCCATAGTCCCGTCATGGTCACATGCAGAAAATCCAAAGAGACGCGCTGTGCCTGGGAACGACGCTCGGGCCATGTTTACATGCATGCTACTCCACCATCATCCCGCCAAACACCCAAGCAGTGCCACGGACTTGCCCACCACACGCAACATTTTCAAAGCGACAACAAGATGGCGCCCCGCAGCAAAGTCGCAAACATCTCCTTCACTGTCGATTCCGCCTCGGAAGACGAAATGACGGTAGACGAGCTCAATGCAGTCCAAAAACCCGAGTCCAACGGCGACACCAAGGCGACAGGTCGCAAAGCGCGTGGAAACGCTGCGCAACCAAAGACGGGCGCCTCTACGACCAAGGCGCCTGGTAAGGGACGGCCCGCAGCGCGCACAACAAACGGAACTAGTGCGACAGTTGCGAAGAAGAGTAATGGAGCAACTGTAAAGAAAGCGACTACAAAAGCTGGGGGCAAGGCGCTGGCAGAGGATGGCGATGCGAACGGAAGCGATAGCGAGGAAGGGGCAGACGTTGAGGAAGAGGAGCCAGCGCCACAGACCAAGCCGACTAAGAGAGGAAGGCCAGCAAAGAAGGCGCAAGAGGAAGAGAAGCGCGAGGAGGAATCGGTGCCAGCACCGGCAAAGAGAGGGCGCAAAGCCGCAGTCAAGGAGGGAACAGAGAAGGTGACCAAATCCAAGACAACCGCAAAGTCAAGAGGCACAAAGCGCGCACTCGAATCCGAACCCGAGCCGGAGCAGATGACCATCCCAGAGACACAGCCAGAGCTAGACACAGAAACCATGGACATTTCAGAGTCGATAGAGATAGAGGAGATAGCAGAGAGTATGCCACCACCAGTGCGGCCTTTTGCGCGCCGAGCCCACGCACAACCGAACAGTAGGGCGCGACGGACGTCTGCTGGAGTAAGGAGGACAGGAAGCGTATCAGACTCTGAGCGAGACCCCATCATGCGCCGGAAACTAGGGGATCTCACGAAGAAGCTGGACGCCACGACAGCCAAGTACGAAGCTCTCAAGGAAGCAGCATCATCAGGGAAAGAATCCAACTTTGATCAACTCAAGAAGCGGACAGACCAAATCGCCAAAGACCAAGACGCTGTCATCAAATCTCTTAAACAGCAAGTATCCGATACGCAATCCCGCACGGCCGACCTCGCCTCCCTCAAGAAAGAACTAGCCGCCGCCTCGAAAGAATCCGCACGTCTCGCCGCCGAAAACAAGAAGCTCGCCGAGTCCCTCACAGCCGCACAAAACGAAAATAAGACGCTCTCTTCCAAACTCGCAGCAGCTCGCTCCTCATCAACAATACAACCAGACGTCAAGACGGTGCCAGGCAGCGCCGTCAAACCCCGTACCACCGGCGTCGTCCTCCCTGGAAACATGGAAGCCGCAAAAGAAGCAACCCTGGCACGCCAAAAAGTCGATCTGTACAGCGACTTGACCAACCTGGTCGTTTTGAGCGTCAAGAAATCAGATGAAGGAGAAGATGTCTATGATTGTCTTCAAACAGGTCGGGGTCGAAGTATGTTTCTCCTCCTTTTCCCTTTCCCTTTACCCGATTGAAGCTGACATGTACAAAAAAAAAAGCCCTCCATTTTCACCTCACCGTCGCCCCAGGCGCCTCGCCCGCAGAAGAAACAGAATTCATATACCAACCCTTGCTCGACGAACAGCGTGACAAGGATCTCTTGGATATCCTCCCGGATTATCTCACAGAAGAAATTTGCTTCCCCAGTGCTCAGGCTGTCAAGTTTTACTGCAAGGTCCTGGATAGTATGAATAAAAAGGTTGTGCTTGAGGAGGACGACGAGAGTGAGCATGGAGGTGAGTGAGTTGGAGAGAGAAGCGGGGAAAGGGCGTTTTCTTTTTGGGGGGTATGGTATGGATTTGCATGAGGGATGGCGTTGTCGATGACGTCCTTTTTGTTTTTTGAGCATATGGATGAAGGTTTTTTTGTTGGCCTTGTTTGCTTTGTGTTGTTGTAGTATCGAATGATACCCCCCCCCCCCCACGCCTTCCCTTCCCTTCCATGTCTTGCGTCTATTTTCTCTCTCTCTCTCTCTCTCTCTCTCTCTCTGTCTAGTCGTGGTTTTTTTTTCGAATCGCCTACAAACGCACAATCTACCCAGGGTTTAGCCACGGAAACATATGTATACAATGATATGTGATTCTTTTTTTTGGTCATTTCGATCCCCAAATCGGCTTCATTCTTTTATCTACACAACCTTTCCTTTCTTTGCTCCGTCTAACGGTACAGAAGAAAAGAAAAACATCCCCCCCCCTTCCCACTTCGAAACCGTGGTATGCTAGGTAGGTATATGTCCACCGCACAACGGGGTTATACCATTGCTATATCTCTCTCGCGGTCGAACGGTGCGCTTATTGCTTTCCTTGGACCTTGTCTGCGGCTTTCTTGACGTACTCCCTGTACAAACAAGACTGGTTAGTTTCTCTGCTCACTGCCAATGACCAGGTAGGTGGGTAGAGGGAGATATATGGAGAAACGCACTTGACAAAGTTCTCCTCCTCGCTGCTCTTGGCATTGATAGGAGGCGTAGTCGGGTCCTCGGCCTTCTTTCCGCCCATCGAGAGCGCAGCACCAGTGAATGTGGTGGCGAGCGTGGCAATCGCAAGCTATTCGTCTATTGTTAGCCATCTTCTTCATCTACCGTCAATTCCAACCCTTGATCCCCGCCGAAAAAAAAGCCGGAATGCCAGAAGCAATTGCTGCGACTGCATGTGGGAGACGCCAATGCCTTCAATTGATTGTCCCAAACCCCCCACCGGAGTCTGTTCCTTACAGCCGCGGGCTGCACTGAGATGGAGAAAACAAGGACATACAACGTGCGATCCGACCTGGCGGCCGAAAATCGTGTACATGGCAACCATCTTTGCGGTAGTGAAAGGTGTGTGATCCGTTCCGAGGGGAAAAGCGCAGGGAGTATATGAGATGCGGATGCGTCAATGGATGGCGGGCGGGCGGGTAGAGAACGGTTCGTTGCAGTTCGGAGCTTGATGGTCTGCGTCGGAAGAACGAGGTGCGTGGCTTGGCGGGCGGAAAAAATGTGGCTGATGAGGTTGTGGCTGGTGTGGCTGCGCGACAGGGATGGTAGAGGGGTGGGGAATGGATTATGACGTGAGGCTGAGGTGGTGGGTTGGCTGCTGGCTGGGGTGTCCCGAGGTTGATAGTGGTACGATGATCAAACCTGCGTGCGCAGTCTTTCTTTCTTACTAACGTTCTTTACCCTTTGGTAGACAAGACTTTGGATTGACAACTTGCGATTGTGTCGGGATGGCTAAAGATGCGAATAAGAAGGTAGAAGAGGTGGATGGTGTGCCGGTAGAGCGACAGGGAGCGCGTCCTGACTTTTCGGTTCCGCCGCCCAGGAAACAGCTTCCCAAGGAGCTGCAGGATACGCTCAATGATGAGGAGAAGCTGTGGGAGGTCCTATATGATGGCGAGTATGTTGCCTTATCCCACCCTTCCATTGCCAAATCGCATACGCCCACCGCAATGCGCAGATGCCTTCTGCCTAGTACTCTTCACGATAGCTAACACACCATGACAGAGGCGACGACACAACAGATACCTCTCTCCGCTATGCAGCCTATGCCTCGCGCATCCGCACAATCATGCTTTCGGCGCACCGCTATGTAGCCTATACCTCTGACATTGGCGAATCCTTCCGTCCAGTCGCCCACCCTTACCTAGTGAAAGGCGCCTACGGTATCTCCTGGCTCTATCTCACCGGCGATGTCGTCCATGAAGGCTACAAGGCCTATTGCCGCAACCAGCGTACGCTGCACCCTGAGAAATTCATGGACGAAGCCGCGGACAAGTCGCTGGGAGAACAGAAAGATAAGGATATGGCGGCAACGGGGAAATCGTTTGGCTCGGGTATCTTTGATAAAGTGCAGGATCTAGCAAAGAATGCGACGAGCACCGATGGTGTCAAGTATGGTGGTGCTGCTAGTCCACTGACGGGTGGAGAGGTCGTTCCAGGGCGTATACCGGCCATTGAGGACTACAGGGCTGTGATGGCGCAGCGGGCGGTCTTCCAGGCTGTTGCTTCGATGGGATTGCCGGCTTTTACCATTCACAGCATTGTCCGGTATTCCGGACGTGCACTTAAGGATGCAAAGAATAAGACGTTGAGGACTTGGGCTCCGATTGGGGTAAGTTGTATTTCATCGTTCGATGTGTGTGTGGTTGAAAGATTACTGACATATGTATAATAGTTGGGTCTGGCGGCCGTTCCTTTCCTACCCTATGTGTTTGATGAGCCCGTCGAGCACGCAACTGAATGGATCTTCTACAACGCATTCAAGACGTTTGGAGGCGAGAAGGCTGTCGAGGGGAGACCGGTCATTGGAGCAAAGGAGCTCAGGAAAGAGGAGACCGAGGCGAACAAACTGAAGAAGGAACTCTAAAATACCTTAAGAATCATGATGAGACATTCCTCTTCATCTATCTGTAAATACGATACCCACAAAGTATACGATCCGCTCAATCTATACATATAATACTCTACGAAATTTGTACGCACAGGGTATCACGACCAAACAAGGATGGAACCAGCGTATGTAAATAACAAAATCCTACCCTGGCCTTACTCACCTGCTCCCTCCATCCCTCTCACAAGCCTCCGTAAACACGCTCAGCAACTCGGGAAACTCACACACATTCATCGACTCAAAAACATCAAGTGAATACAACTTGAGCGCCCCCATCCGCGGACTCTTAATCCCAAACGCAAGCTTAGCCAGCATCCTCGCATCATCGCGAATCCCCACCGCATCCAGCACCCTCTTCACCTTGGCGGGATCAGGTGGCTGCGCCGGCTCATCAGGAAGCAAAACCTGCACATGCGTCTCACACCACGTACAATGACCGCATTCCTCCTTGCTGCGCTCCGCGTCGCCAAAGTACTCTGCCATGCTATGTGCGAAACAGCGTTTCGCAGTCATGAGGTCGATGAGGGCGCGGGTGCGAGCGAGATTCTGCGTCTCGGTTTCTTGCATGCTCTTGTCTAGCTTTTGTACAATGTCATTGATTTCTGTGGGAGACTGGGGTAGGGGGCGCTCGAGACGGTAGATGTTTTGTACCCCTTCTTTCTTGAGTTCAATTGCGCCGCGTTCGTTCCATTCGTCGATTTTGCGGACGAGGTCGGCGCGGGGGATGCCGGTTGAAGCTGCTAGGTCGTCCAGAGCTACGTGTGTCCATTTGCTGGCTTTAGTGGCGGCTTTGCGGATTGCGGATGCGGCGGGAGAGGTATCATTGAGGAGGGTGGCGGCGTCTTTGGTTATGTACATGTACTTTGTGTAGAGGGAGCCAGCGGCGCGGAAGAGGTTGAATTGGAGTTCCAGCTGGGCGTAGAGGATGCCGAGAACGATGGCTTTGATGTCTGTTTCTTGGCTTTGCGTGTGGAGAGAGAGAGTGAAGGTGTCTCCGGCTTTGAGGTGTGCATGAGCTGGAGAGCAGATGTCTTGCATCAGAAGCTTCAAAGAGCGCAGGGAGGGTCGATCACCGTAAGTGAAGATGTTGCGTAAGTAAAAGTCTTTTGTGGATAGGTAGAACATGCAGACACTTGGTTTGCCGTCTCGACCTGCCCTTCCGATCTGTTGACTGTAAGACTCGATACTATCGGGTATGTCAAAGTGCACAATGTTGCGGATATTAGACTTGTCGATACCCATGCCAAAGGCTATGGTAGCGACTACAATCATGTCGGTGCTAGACAGAAACTCATCTTGCGTCTTCGACCGTACTGCAGCGGGCATACCCGCATGGTATGCTTTGGCGTTGAACCCTTGTACTTGCAATTCTGCAGCCAGTGTTTCGGCGCCTTTTTGAATCGTCACGTATACAATAGTCGCACCGGGATGCTTTCTGAGATGGGCGACGAGCTTGGCTACGTAATCGGCATCTTTGGTGTTTGCTTCAGCTAGTAAACGGAGATTGGGACGATACATTGTCGTTCTGAACAGGCCTTCTTCGGGAATGTCAAAGGCATTCTGAATGTCCTTGGCGACTTTTGGGGTTGCAGTCGCTGTCAAACATATGACCCTTTCTACTTGAGCTTCCTTAGCAAATCGAGCTATCTTGAGGTAGTCTGGGCGGAAAGAATGACCCCACTCTGAAATGCAGTGGGCTTCGTCGACTGCGAGCAATCGAATACCGCCAGGTATATTTTTGAGTGAGGCAATGAATCCCTCGCTGTTGAGCCGTTCCGGAGCACAGTAGATGAGATCCAGACGTCCATTCCGGAGATCATCTTGTGCAGCCAGGAATTGATCGCGTGAGATGGAAGAGTTCAATACTGCAGCCTTTATGCCACGACGCAGGAGAGCATCGACTTGATCTTTCATCAAAGCAATCAGCGGAGAGATGACTAGAGTGACACCGCTGTGTCCAGCAGTGCGCTGTTTGAGCTCCTCATCTTGGTACCTAAAGGCAACTGCAGGTACCTTGAGATATTAATCAAATGTCTCGAGACCGGACATTCAGACTCACTTGATAGCAGAGACTTTTTCCGCCTCCAGTGGGGAATACAACTACTGCGCTGCCTCCATCGAGAATTCGTGCGATGGCCTTCTCCTGTTCAAGGCGAAAGCTATTTAGACCAAAGCGTTCCCTAAGAATCTTATTCGCAAGTGCAGTTCTGGGAGAAGGAGTTGCATCAGTTTTCAGCTCAGATCTGGATCGCTTGGGCGATGGCACTCTATTACAGTTGTCGTCATGGAGCTTCCGTTTTGCACCAGGGGCGTCGAGAGCGGCAGTGGCAGCGAGGTATTCATCGTCCTCAGAAGACCAGCCAAACTCGTCATCACTCATACCGAGAGACACGTGTGACAAGAGCTTAGCAGTTTTAGAACGCAGTCAATACCAGGGATCGTGGCTGAAGTGAAGAAGAACACGACTCGGTAGTGTTCAGGACGTCTCGCGCTAGATCGGAAACGCGAGGGCACGTGACTGGGGATGCCCAATGGGTTCGTCCACGGCGAAGTCTTCCACAACTCTACCGAGCCGGCTCACCGAATGAGGCAAAAATGACGACCATTGGGCTGATGTACATGGACTGTCAGGTTTACCTGGTGGAAACACGGCGCAATACAGGGAATTGCTTCCGGCGGGTCTCAGTGATGTTGAAACAGGCATTACATCACACCAAGCAATGCTTCTTCTGCCCGCACTAATTCCGCCAACTTTCCCCTCCTGCCAACCGAGCTACACAGGCTACTGTCAGTACATGTGCAATGATTGAGTTCGTCTTGGGCAGCGTAGAAAATACGGTGCCACGTGAACAAAAATCCACTATAACAGGGGCAAGGATCGATCGTGGCGGGAGGCAGGGCTGTCGTAGATGAGCCGGCTTGGAGACAATCTTGGTATACCTGCAAGCCTCGCCGTGGGGTGGGCACTCTACAATGGCGGTCGAGATGCAACTAGCGTGCGCGCCACATCCGTACCATCGGCTCAAGGCCCAATGGTGCCACGCGTCTGCTTCTCCGTCAAGTTTTCTACATCTCAGGCAGCCAGTCGATCTACGATCGGTCGAGTTCTGCAGCCAGTTTCTCCCATGTCTCCTCGCCTGGAGCTGTTCGCCGGTGTGGCTTTGCCAACAACACCGCTTGGGTAATCAGTCTAGAGCTGGCCAATCTGCTTTTGCCACCACATAGAAATCCTCACTCTTGTCCTTGTGTAGTCGTCGCGTGTTCGGAATTTATGTCAATGTTTGTGGCGACAACTCCAGCTCAAAGACTCGGCTCTCGTCTGCCCTAGCGGAGGAACGATATTGAACGGCAACTTCGCCACGACATTCTGCGGAGCGCCAAGGCATTCATCTATTCCTACAACTACATCCTACCCTACTCCTCAGCCAGGCTGTTTACATGTTTGGATATCATGCACTCGCAGCCATTTGCAGAAACCCTTCCACACGCATGTCAGGTTAACCATTGCCGAAATCGGATCGGGATGCCATCAGCCGATCCTTCCCACCCTCGCCTCTTGGATCTGGAAGACCTTGAGTCGGAAAAAACCCCGCTGTTTGTCATCAAGATTGGTGAGATTACACCGGAATATGATATTGCTTTTGGCAACAAGCCTTTCCGGGCACTTGATCTGCGCGGTCCTATCTTAGCTCAAGGCAGAGAAGCGCTCCTCTTCCGATCGTGGACACAGGCTTTGGGTGATTTTAAACCAGAATACGACTTTTCCAGCAGAAGATGGAGTGTAGAGTACGCGGGCCGGTCTCGCAGCTGGAAGATAATACGAGCAATCAGCTCCCAAACCCCGGAAAAAGATCAACTTTTACTCGACGAAAAGGCAGATGGAAATGGCCAACTTGAGAATGATCGAGGCCTGGTTTCCTCACGCTCAGGGACGGATCTCGTCATGCGAGTCAAACCTGAAAAACCAAAATCGCTCAAAAACCTGCCCACTACCAACCTCAATGCCAGATGGGAAAGCATCCAGACGATGATGGAGATGAGCGATGTGGGTGTATTTGAATACAACTCTTCGGGAAAGCTGATACATGCAAATGAGGCCTGGTATAGGCTCAGGTATGTGCAACGACAGCATCAGCATTTGTAGAATCACGTGACTGACCTCCTCCAGCTCTCACCCTGGGATACTCGAGCATTCAGAGTTCTCCTTCATGGACCTCGTTTATCCTGAAGATCAGGCGTTAGTAATGTCCATGTGGAACAGACTGGCTCTTGGCAAAGCCGTCACTTTTGAGATGCGTTGGAAACCGCGGCCCGGATCAACAGATACTGCCCAGTGGGTGCTTTCAGCTTGTGTGCCTGTTCTTGACGAAGAAGGAAAACTGGTAAGTATTGCTGGAAACACAATCGACATCAACGCCCAGAAAAAGTCACAGGCAGCAGCACAAGCACAGGTGGAGGCTCTTGAGCAAGCACGAATGGCAGAGATGAAATTCGCACGTTTTGCCCAGGTATCTCCGGTAGCAATATATATCTACGTTCCTGAGAGTGGTATGTTTTGTTTTTTTAATAGTTTTACTTTTACTAATGTTGCAATAGGCATGAACTTTGTAAATGATCAATTCTTCGAATTGACTGGTCACGCTCATGCACCGGTGAACCAATTCGAGTGGTTCGATCTCATCTCCGAGGAAGATGTATCCAGAGTCAAGAATGATTGGGAAAACATGCTCAAAGGTGGAAAGTCCAATGGAGTGCAGTTTCGGTTAAAAAAGACTTGGGTCAACCAGGACGGAATGCGTTCGAACATCTGGGTACAAAGCTCAAACTATCCAGAGCTCGACGAAAGTGGAAAAGTTATTAGTAAGTAAAACTAACATAAGTCTCCGGATCCTCCTGCCAACAGCGATAGGCATCATGGGAACGTTGTTCGATATTTCGCAATTCAAATGGGCCGAAGATGTTCAACGTCGCCGGATAGAGGAAGCATGGGAGGCGAAACGGCAACAAGAAAAGTATAGCGATGTTTCGGAAAGTGCCTTGGGAACTTACTGACTGTGGCAGTTTTATCGACATGACTTCCCACGAACTGCGTAATCCCCTTTCCGCCGTCATACAATGTGCTGATTCAGTCATTGCTTCGTTGCAGCAGTTGCTATCTCGGGAACTTACAGCGCATGACCAGAGTCTGAATGCTGCAAAAGTTTCGGCAGAGATTCGAAGCTGTATCGAGTCATTGCTGATCATTGTGTCTTGTTCGATGCACCAGAAGCGCGTGATTGACGACGTTCTTACACTTTCAAAGCTCGACTCTGATCTGATCCTGATTACGCCGATGCGTGTACAGCCCGCGATAGTAGTCTCGGATGCTGTAAAGATGTTCGAGGTCGAATGCGGCCAGTCAGATATCAAACTTACCTTCCGTGTGGACGAGACATTCAAAGGTATAGAGTGGGCGATGCTAGACCCTTCGCGCCTCTTACAAGTTCTCATCAACCTGCTGTTAGTTTGACTAAACAATCATTTAAAATGTCTATTAACAGACTTAGGACTAACGCTATAAAATTCACCAAGGACTGCACTCGGAAGACAATTACTGTTACGATCGGTGCGTCATGGACCAGGCCACCTAAATGCTGGCAAGAAATCACATTTACCGATGATGAACGCGATCACCTCAGTATCACAGACAAGCCAGAATGGGGACATGGCCGTAAAGCATTCCTGTGGCTCAAAGTACAAGACTCCGGATGTGGCATGACCATGGAGGAGCAGAAGAAACTCTTCGCCCGTTTCTCACAAACAACACCTCGAACACACGTCAAGTATGGCGGATCGGGCCTTGGACTTTTCATCTCCAAATCACTCACCAAACTACAGGGCGGAGCAATTGGTGTGAGCTCTGCAAAAGGCGAAGGGTCGAAATTCGCATTCTACATCAGTACCCGACTGGCATATCCGCCAGCCGACCAGATCGTTGGACGAGCATTGCAAACTCAGCCCATTCTTGACCACGCAATATCCGGCGAAGAAGCCATGCGCATGATCAAACTCAACGTCCTCATAGTAGAAGACAACCTCGTCAACCAAAAGGTCCTGCGAAAACAACTCGAGAAATTCAAATGGAACGTCAGCGTCGCTGGAAACGGCCAAGAAGCCCTCGAATGGCTTAAAAACAGCATATACTGGCAGCAGCCCGATTCCGACAGCCCCACTCAAGCAGAGTCCAGCAAACACGACCTTGACATCATCCTCATGGACATTGAAATGCCCATCATGGACGGCCTGACCTGCGCCCGTCTGATCCGCGACTATGAACACCAAGGCCTCCTCGCCTCCCCCTCGCCATCTTTCTCGCAGCTCCGCCGCCTCTCCGCCGTCTCCGTCTCCCCAATCCAATCCTCAAACCACAACGACCCCTTTTCCACGTCGCTGGCAAAGCACCGTTATTCCACCTCGTCCCGTGAGAGTAATGATAACAACCCTGCCCACCGCCAGTTTCTGCGCCTCCCGATTTTGGCGGTCAGTGCGAATGCGCGCATGGAGCAGGTCGACCAGGCGCTGGCGGCCGGGATGGATGATGCCATTTCGAAGCCGTTTCGCATTCCGGAGTTGTGGCCGAAGATTAGGGGGCTTGTGAAGAGGGTGGCGGATGTTGATGCGGAGGTGGAGCTGTGATTTGGGAGAGTGTTTTCTTTTGAGGCTTAGGGGTTTACTGAGAGGGGCATCAGACTCTGGTGTTTTGGGTGTATGAAGGTATTTTTGATATGCATTGGTTTGGGCGTTTTCAAAGGTTGCAGCGATGAAGATGTATGTTTTTTTTATTTTCATTCTTTGCTGCGGGACTGGTCTAGATGTATGAGCCTTTAGAAGAGGGGGTATTTGGTCATGAGAGGTGATTGGGAGATATTATTCAACTGCTTTGTAAAGAGCATTACTCAGCTTTCAAAATGGGTGATATTTTAGGGAATACGATGATGTTAATTGAATTCGTACATCTATGCAATTTCAAAAGTATACGAGTTTAAGAAGAGGAATTATCTCGAACCTGCAAAGGGCACCTAAACTTCACATACTACAACAGAACCACCAAGTTCACTTATATGATAGATCCAAGAAAAAAAACACTTTAGCTTGGAAAAAGAAATTTTGAATCTCCCCATTACCAGGTATCTTTCATTACTCAAACCAGCTTCACGACTTCGAAATCATCCTCAGTCAAATGCGCAACTGCCTCTCCCTGCATAATGCCATGCAAGTAAGCCTGTCCAAGAATCTTGAAATTTCCATCGTGAAGCGGTCTCAGCACGAACGGCGTGTCGGCGCCCATTGGAAGCCAAATCTGATCTCCGCCTTCAGTGATTCTCGGTCCCAGTCCCAGCCGCCCGTCGCGAGTTAGAAAGCAGCGGGTGCTTTCGGCAAGGTATGCGGTGGCGTACCGCTTGTAATCACCTTTTTCATGGTCCTGAGAGAGGGAAGGAGTCAAGGAGTCAGTCTGTGTTGTCCCAGGGTTTCTGGTATCTTGAGACTTGGCGTGGCGGTATGCACAGAAATCGTAGTAGTGCTGTGTTGCATTCTTCTCATTGATAACCTCTCGTAACTCCCCTTCGTTGCATGTCAACCCTCCTGTCAAGGTGGCAGAAAGACTTCTCATGTCGCAGTACTCTTGGGTAGCAAAATCATTCTTGAGCACGTCCAGGGTCTCGATGATGCTTTCCAGAGGATCGTAGTAGTCGTCGTTTGCGTCGGGAGGTTGTGCAGTTTCTGATTCGCTGTTTGGTGAATGCTTTGTATACTGCTCATATGGAATTAACATTGAGCAGTACACTGGTCCCATGTAACGGGCTTTGATGCTGAGAGAAATGGGCTCAAACTCAGTACCAAGTGAAATTTCAAATGAAGTGGACGGCAACCGCGTAGCAGCAGTGTAGAAGTTTACAGCTCTCGTAAATGGCGAAGCCTCGCAGATATTCCACCTAGGTACCCAGGATGGGATATTTTCTTCAGGTGGTGAGGTATCTTTTTCGGTTAATGGGATGCATTCTTCGGTTGATGGGACGTCCTCGATTGATTTCTCGTTGTGCTGAATGTACCGCAAGAGTTTCATCCCTAGTCCATGTTGCTCAATCATTGTAAACGCAAATCGGAAGTATACAGCCTCAGCGGTCGTTTCATTGCTGTAGTCGGGCTTAATAACAGTTGGTCTGTTATTGTAAAAGTTCTGCGGGTACCACATGTAAGGCTCTGAATCCAGTAGTTGTTTTTTGAATGCCGAGGGATGACCCAAGAAGGCGTATACGGAGTCCCTTGCATCAGTACAGTCCAAGCCCCTTGCCGAAGCCAGAACGTCGCATAGATCTTCCGCAAGATGGGGATCGCTGCCAAACTCCAATCGATGGTTACCGCGTGTGCTCTCTTGGTATTTAAGAGCCAGATTGAGTGTTTGCAGATTGAGTCTGTAATGACTTTGGCTCAATGGAGCGTGAAACAGGAGGAATTCACAAAAGCCGTCGAGGTCCCAGAAATCGATTGAGGCATCTCCACAGTAGAATGTCGCATTTCTTGCCAAGCCAAGCTCTTGAACCACCCACACTCGCGTAAACCAATCTCGAGTGAACAATCGTCGAACTGACTCCCATGAGACAGCTTCTTTGCCCCCCTGAATATCCTCTATCTTTTCTGGCATCGCAGTTGGATGACCACGTCTGTTGTTTGCCGCCGCTTCTTTAAAACTACTGCATCTGCGTATGAAATCAAATGCTTTCCCAGCACTGACTTGCTTCGCGCTCTTGTCTTCTTCACCAAGCCAAACAAGTACTCTAGTAGCTTTCCAGTAAATTATGCCCATGAGAGAAACTTGCTGTGACCTTTCTGTAAGGTCTTTCTGATTGATGCATATACCATCCACCCACATAACTCTGGTTCTGTCTTCATATCGAAAATAGCGGAGTATGCTTTCCAGATTGGCCCTGATCTCGAGTGGCTCACCATCGCAGTCAATTGTCTTAGTTTCTTCCGATTTTCCCCAGCAATATGAAAGGGCTTCATACATGCCAAGCTCTAATTTCGACTTGATGGGAAATCTGTCTTCAAAATCGGCCAAGGCAACGGGTCTTAGGGAACAGCGGATCGCAGCTTCTCGGGGTCCTGGCAGCAAGACGAGGAGGCGTATACGGCCTTCGGGCAAAGTCTTGTATTCATAGCTAGGCTTCACCGATCTCTGTAAGCAACTAGTTCTGATGGTCATATTTGGAGTTTTTAGGCCACAAGCTTTTAAAATGGAATATTCATTAATGAACTTGGTTAACACAAGAGGAAGAAAGTAAGGAGAGTAGATTAAAGGGTTTGGATAAGAGCGACCGGACCAAGAGCAGTCTGCATTATATCTTGTCATAGTAGCGCTGCGGCTCTCGTCTGAAGAGATACAAGGCTACTACTTCGCATAAGAAATCACTCTGAATAGATCGATCCCGCCACGGCAGGCGGCAACAGAGGCATAGGTATTCGCTCGCCTGTAGACGCGCTCCTGAAACCCTGCGCGGCTGCAGAAAAACGGGGAGGGTTCATGACCGGAGCGAGAGCCAATGACACCATAGTTGTTGTCGCGTAGGATTGGTAGCATGTGTCGCGAGGAAGCGCCGAGTTGATCCATATGACAACCAGGAGGTTCGGTATGTGGCGGCAGTGGCTGGAGCCGTCACCTCGGACCCTGACGCTAGCGTGCCACCTTCGGAACTGTCCCAAGCATTCCGACTTAGCAATCGTCAGCGCAGTTGCCTGGGCTTGCGACCTTCTCGATGCTTCCTGTGTCTTCTCACTACATTTCCAACCATCTCACTCAACAGCGGCATTTTGTGTAATTTCTTTCAGCATTGCCATACTTAATCTTGATATCGCACTACTGCTATGTCATCTGCGAACGATTCAAACACCACCAAGATGAAGGGCGAAGTGGAAGCGATCGGGGCGCATTGCCAGATGGAGTATTGTAATGTCCTCGACTTCCTGCCGTTTCCATGTGAGAGCTGCAAAGGGTAAGGGATATGGCTATCACCACTTGGAGTTAGCGAATTGCGCTGACATACTATTTAGGACATTCTGTCTCGACCACCGCACTGAGACCGCACATAAATGCCCAAAGCAGGGCCAGTGGGCACGGAGCAAAGTTGAGAACAGCTCGGAAGAGCTGGCACCAAAGCCCACACTACTCAACCACGAACAACAGTGTGCCAGTATCTCGTGCAAAACGCTCATCGATACCGCTCGCACCCAAGGCGTACAATGCACTCGCTGCAATCGCCGCTACTGTCTCAAGCACCGTTTCGAAGAAGACCACGACTGCAAGAACCTGACACCGCTCGGCGCACGCCCACAAAACTCCGTCCAAGTACGCACGCAAACCGCGCTCTCGAAGCTCAAAGCTTGGGCCGAGAACAAGAAGAAGGAGGACGAGAAGCGGAGAGCCGCGCCCAAGAAATCGGGATTCCTGGGTCTAGGCAAAGCATCGGCGGCATCATCAGCCCAAGCCGAACTCAACGCGCTGAAGCGCACGGCAAAAGGCGAGGCTAGTGTTCCCCAGGAGAAACGGATATATCTGCATGTTGAAGCCTCGGCCGACACAACGAAAGCGAAGTATCCGACGGGCAAATTCTTCTACAACAAGGAATGGACAGTTGGTCGCGTGCTCGACATGGCAGCCAAAGCGCTACAAGTCCAGAACGTGAACAACCGGGGTGGCGGCGAAGAAGAAAAGCTGCGCGTCTTTCATGTTGAGGGCGGGAGGTTACTCAAGTTCAACGAGAAGCTTGGGGAAGCGTGCCAGAGCGGGAACATGATTGTTCTGCTGCGTGGTGTAGGGTCGGGCGAGGCGCCAGACTTGATTGATTTATAACGAGTTATTGGAAAGAGGGGGAACTTGTTGTAATGTAATATGGCGTTTGGCAATTGGGATTTCGCGCTGGAGATACCCGGGGTTACTTCTCTCACAATGTTATGGCCGAGTAGAGCGAATTGTACAAGTTAGACATGAATTGAGTAAACAGAAAGGGATGGAGGAGATAGTTGGTTGACTGCTTTGATCCTGACATCATTCTCTTTGTTTGGAATCCGCCATTATCAAATCACGTGCACCAAGGGCAACATCTGGGTCGCAACTTCCTCTAGAATCCATCACTAAGCGCCAACAGTCAGTACCTTTGATTCTGATCAATCCTTCATATTTCTATTATGATTCATGGTTTACTACGACTATGTACAGTATCTACTATAGCTGGGGCATCGAGCACTTCGATCGCCAGCAGGCCATGTATGCTATCCTCCTCTATATTTATGCTCCATCGTCCGCTCCTGGCCCTATTACCCTATTTACACAAGGGCCCTGCCATTGCCGAACCAATATTTCTTCTTGAATCGAATGCTCTACAAGACATTACGCCTCCAGACATCTCCCAGTCATGAAGGTATTTACAGGCTCTTCCACGTGGCCTGGGTATTATTCGCGGCGCTGGTATCTTATTTCGGCGGTGGAATGGGACTTGCCCAAGTGCCGCAATGAAGGTCGTCCGTGATGTGTTTGTTGTACAGTTGCTACTGTGTTTGACTCGTTTGACACGTTTCGCATATTCTCCCTGGCATGCGCTTCAATCGTCGCTGGACGCGAAATTGCGGCACTTGAGGCCGTGGATCTTGGTGCCCCAGCCGATGCTACCAAGGTTGTTTACGCCATCGGGAACGGTGAGGTACGAATCCATGTCCATGTCGCCTTTGCAGTCGTAGTTGCTGTTCTCTCGTTAGCCAATGCCAGCCCGCCAGCCACCCTCAGCCTCGTCGCAAACTCACTCGTAAAATCTACAGTTCCAGAAGTCGTCGCGTTGTAGTACGCTCGCGACATCGTGGCCGCCGACCAATATGCTCTGCACGCGCCCGTCGATGCTGACCTGGTGTTAGCGGGGGACTGGCATGAGGGGAGCGTGGGTCTCGCATGGGTACGTACAGGTTGTTATCGAGTGAGAGACACTGGTTGTTGTACGCGTCGACGCTGACTTCGCTTAGGAACGAAGGCGCAGCAAACAGCTGGACCTTGATCTTGGTCGAGGTGATTGTGTCGGTGGCGGCGACGGAGGCCGCCCATACCATCAGCAGAGTTGGCAGGGGACCAAGGCGGGTGGCGGGCAGCATCATCATCATCACAACAGCGGCATCCAGAACCACGACAGCAGAGGGCGGCGATGTTTGGTTTTCACAGGGGTTTGTGGCGGTGCACGGTAGGACGATGTGCGATGTGCAGGAACGGCGTGAAGGGAGGCGTCAGGCTGCGATGTTGGCGTGCGTGCGTGGGTCAGCAGGAGAGAACTGCAGTCGGCCATGACTGCGCTTGCTGTGTTGCCACGAGCCCCGATTGGCTGCCTGCACACTGCACCGCCCCACTCTAGCGTCCCAGATTGGGGGCAGATCTGAGGCTGGCCACCATTTACTTCATCCACCATGTGTCTTGGATAGTTGCGAAATACACGTATAGAGGGGATAACATGCCTTTTCTTGTTCCACCGAGGAGCAATACAGGCGATAGGTGTGAAACAAAACAAAAGACAACTGATGAAAGCCACCTAGCACCGGCCGGCGCTGATATTTGAGGGACATGTCGGATAAGCCAGCAAAACCCTATAAACTGGATATCAATGTAGCACCAAGAAGTAAGAGACTCTTATATCGAAACGCTCTATGCCAATTTCAGCGAGATATTTTCTATTCATAGTTCTTGAATACGTGTAGGTTTTGTGCGTCGGTGGAGAAGACCAAACCTTGTATATTCCATCGTATAATCTCACCACGCATGCAACTTCACAAATGCAAAATACCATTTGTGATTTAAAATTCATTAGCCAGGAGATACACAACTCAATTTCCCTCTTGACGACCTAGTGTCTCTCGATGTAATACACTCTCTCTACAAAATGAAGACTTTACATTATCAAGACGCTAGCCCATCTAACTTCCACTGTCCTTGCTAGCTGCTAATCCATTGGCTCTCGTCCCAACAGGATTTTATCGGTAGAACATGGTACGTGCTTATTTGATTGGCAGAAAACTCAGGTGTAGCAGTTAATAGGGTCTTATGTTTAATTCCTATTATTCCCGCTAGCACCTCGTACTGCTTCCGCTACAGCGACAAGTTTGTCTTAATTGTCCATACATTCGACCTTTTGTTTGCCTAGTATGACTGATTTAGTATGGTGGCCTAGTAAAAGAAAAGATGAAAATAGATCCAATTTCTCAATCAAAACAAGAAACAACATACCTGGATGGTTACTCAGCTTCATTTCAACTACAAACAAACTCCATCGCCCTCCCATCCTCTTTCCCCCTTCTTATCCCCGAAACGTAAATACGTAGAAAAAAACCCACAGATCCAAAAGCGCAAGGATAGGATGTACACAAGACCTAGATCCAGCACCAAGACTACCGCGCAGCTACAACACCAGGAAACTGTATTAATTAGCACCATCAAAGCATCCTTCTTACCCTACACATGAACAATTACCGTTACCTACCCACCTCCACACTATGCAACACCAGTACCCACTCACCCGTAACTTCATCAACTTAGTCCCTTGGAACCCCTGCATTTCGTTTACACCCTCCCGAATACGAGCAAGATCCCGTACTACCCCCACTCGACCACTAGACCCTCGAAAACTCTCCCACCACAACAGCAAAAAGAAAAAAAGGTATCCCGCATTACCTTGGCACAACCCTCCCCCACCACAGCCCCGGCCCATTCCACCATGGCGCAATTTCTCTTGGCAGCGGCCCCAAAGTCAAAAATTAAGGTTGCGTAATGGCAAAACGCTAGTTTTCATCTCGTCCAAAGGGCTAACGATGGCGGGGGGGAAGACGGGGTGAGCCGCACACGTGGAAAAGCCCTCGTATTTTCGGGGGTTGGTGGGTCGGCCTGGGTGGTGGGATGGTGCTACTGGGTCCTCAAGTGGTCCAGGGTTGGAAAATGGTAGATCGGGTATGTGCGTGTGTACGTAGATGTACTTGTGCATATTGCGATATGATTATGTAACCGTAGTGTGTGTGTGTGAGAGAGAGAGAGAGAGAGCCATGAGATCCGGGGTAAACATATAAAAAATTTGAGGGTTCTTGCGCCTCTGAAAGGTAACATTAGCAATTGAGGATTAAAAAAAAAAATTAATGTACATGGGTAAGTAGTTCAAGGGTGTTCACTCCTTCATCTACGTCGCATGCCCGGTTTTATATACAGCCCATCTATTCCCCATTGACTTTTATCCCAATCCCGCAAATGCGTATGCGTTTTTCCTTTTACAACATATCCCTCGTAACTGTCCACTTTGTCGTAACCATCACATTATCTTTTCCATCTTGCGTTCGAACCTCATCGACCATTCTAGGGGGTGTAAGACTTCGCTTTCGGTCCTGAAAAGTAAGTTCCACCTCGTCGTCGGATGGGCCGCCCTGCACATGCGAAGAGTAAGTGTCGTCGCCAGATACGTGGATTCGGTTGGATGGCCCGGAAATGTAGCCTGTATCGCTGCGGCTCATCGTGGTGGGAGTACTGGACCGGATGATGAGTGTTTTGAAAAAGGGGAGCGAGACAACGATGATGGCTGTGCACATTTCGGCGGTACACCAGAGATCTAGTGGCACTTGTTAGTAACTAAGACTCTCGATAAATTTGTTAATGTTTTTTTTCAGTGGCAAACTCACTTCCATCTGCATCGCTAACGTTGTAGTCCATGTTGTAGACGATGAAGCGAGCCAGACTGATTGCCATTGTGATAGCGCCGAGCGAGAAGACGCCAACCAAACCAATCCTCTGTCTTTTTCGTAGTTTTAGACAGTTTACGATGAAGAATGGAAGAATGAAAACTGTGTATAGTTCCTCATTAGCAAAGCAAGTAAGCAATGGGTATTCAGAAGCACACATACGTAGCAGGTCAGTGGAAAAGTTGAGGGTCCAATTAACCACCAAGTTGGCGTATGCATTCCATGTCGAATAAAGCTGGTTTTCAATTGACCTGTTATTTCTGTTTAGAAAAATGCGTCTCTGACTATCGCAATGGTCACATCATACCAGTTGTCAGAGATCTTGGGTGCAATCAGGGTATCCGTCAATATGCTCGCGAGAAACGCACAAGCCACAGCACCAGCGGCAACATAGGTTGCGATTCGAAGCCGTCGAAAGCCCGATGGAATTAACCACCAGTAGAAAGCCACAAGGGACGCTTTGGGGAAGTAAAGCCCAGTGTCGAAGAAGTAGACGGATGCGAAGACGGTCTAATTACGCTCGAATCAGTTTTTGTCCTTTACATTCGCTTTAGATTTTGCCTGGTAGTTTGCACGAACCTTGAGGTAGTCAACCGAATCGCTTCGCGTCTCTTCGTCCAGTGGATGGTGGATGAGAATGTATAGCGCTTTAGTTGAGCAACTGAACCATCCCAGTGCGCATAACCATCCTCCCCACACAAGCCAGTCGACCAGCGTCAGCCCTCGTTGCTCGAGGCGAACGCGGATCCAACATCGCATACAAGTGACACCAAATGCTAGGCCAAGCAAGAGTGCCTGGATCGCCTGTAGTGGGTAAGTAGGCCGCTTTTTTGTAAGCAGGTATAGGAGCTTACAATGGATGTCACAATCTCCATTACGATACGAGTAACCACACGTCGATGTACTTAGTGAAGATACATGGGGTTCGGCTGGATATAGAAGGAAAAGAGGGGAAAGCGAGAATAAGCGTCTGTCGCATGTTTGACGTTTTCACGGCTGCATATAGTAGTTGAAGCGAGTGTGAAAAGCTAATCACAGGCGAAAGGTATTCCACTGCCACGAGTCACACGTCCGAGGAATGTTACTCGGGCCGTCCATGTCTCGCATCGGGGACTTGATCCACGGCGTCCCAGATCGCCATTAGCGTTGACCCTTGCGGCCAAGATATTTGATGGTTGTCCAAGGCTAAGTAAATTTGCCGTCTAATAGAAACAATGACACGGTGTTGTTGCAAATCCCGTTCGGTGGCCCCAGTTTACACTGACGTTGGTGACGCCTGCTGTTGCGGGTGAGAAGACGGCCAGGCAATGATTCGTCTTTTGGACGAGCGATGAAACACTATTGGCAGGGGAGTTGATTTTCGTAACTCGTCCAAATCATATCAGATTGCACGTCTAATGCATGCCCAGGCGGCAAATCAGTTACTTTCAGACCCTTTGAGCGGCAGTCGGGTAGTGTGGAATGCAAAACAACCAGCATCCGAACGGCTTGAACGAGGGCAACTCTAGAAACGCCCGGCTGCTGATATCAACCTTTGGAGTACCAAACTTTAAACCTTGAGCTAGCTTCAATGGCCCATAGCGCAATCATGGGTGATGGCGAGTCGTCATCAAAGGAGGTGAAAAAACCTGGCACCCGCTAGATAGGCCCCCGTGTGAAAGGGAGCATTTTTTTTAGCGGGCTCGGGGAGGCGGTGTTTGCAGTGCATTCATTGGCACTGATGGAGATGGAATGTGTTCGAGAAGGGCTGACATTGACTGCTTGACTCGGCGCGTAGAGTGTTGGCGACTTGGCGGGTCCGCGGGGTTGGCCGGCGATCAAATCCAGGCGACCCACTATTCGTCACGCTAGCCCCCAAACATCAATCAGGTCAGTTTTTGCTCCCGCCGATCAGCTTCTCGGCCAGTGCCTTAGGGTGTACACGCAACGGCATGAGATTAGCAAAACTCCCAGTGGATAACAAGGCCGTGCCCTGCGTCGCCCTGTGCTTCCTCCTGTCTTCTTACCACCTACTCTAGGAGTACATACTTGTCCCTGGACTAGGCACTGCAAATGTATCCTTCATTCTACCAAGCTTTCACTAAGCAGCCACCCGCCGGCAACATCAACGGACAGCCAGACACCATGGATACTTTGTGCTTGCCCTCGTGCGACGGGTATTGCACGAGCAGAATGTTGGTAAATTTGATGAGCTTTTTATCACCCAAAGGCGTGCACTTAGCCCCAGAATAAATGTGAATGTGTGAACAACTGTATACGGTAATGCCCGCGATGCAACGATCGAACCGTCTATTCAGCGGTACGCAATCGCTTAATATTTCTGTTTCCAATGTAGTCCGGAATACAGTAACATGAATCCCAGCCGGTCGGGGTCCCAGCCATGGGGCCCTGCACCCGCTGTCCCGCCACTATGTACATATGCTGTGTGGTGCTAGGACAAAACCGTAGCCAAGGACTTCGGACTCGCCATGCCCAGGTGTGGAACATGAATCGGGAGCCGCAGCCAGTCGAGCTGAAAGACTTCGTGATTGCGTCAGGGCCGGCATGGTGGCTGTTGGAATTATCAAACCGAGGCTGCTGTAGTGGATTGGTGCCGGTAGTCTCGCACGTGGGAAATTGACGGCGCAATCGTTTTGTGGAGCCTCAGTCGTTTGGGTTTGCGCAATGCTAATTTCGATCTTCCGACGCTCGGGCTTGTTCGCAAAAATTGGTGTCTTCATGGCTTTTGATCGTTAATCACAGGCACCATCGACTGGTTACTGGTGTTGTCGTTTGCCTCCCCGTCGGCCGCAAGCTTTCTTCCCCATTTGCCCTTGAACTTGCCTCCTTGTTGTTTGATCCTCTCTTTCTTTGTGTTTGCCACCCACTCTCCACGGAACCGTTGCCTCGGTCTTGCTTGCTGCTCTTCGGTCTTGCGCTTCACACTTGCATCCCTACCATTGACATGCCCTTGAACGACCGGATGATCAGTAACCCAACGATCAAGTTGTGGTCTAAGCTTCGGCCCCCAGACATGTTCGCCAGCTTCCAGATCCGCATATGTTAGCGTGCTTGTCAAACTTGACGGCTCAGGTGGGTTTGATGTGGTGAAATCGGCTTGTCGTGTTCGAAGTAAAGATACCATGTGTGAGCACGTATCACACGACCTGCCCAGATCGTGTGCAAAACTGCGAACGTAAAAGCCTGAGCATACCGTCAGTCGTATTTTCGCGGCAGGTGCTGAAGCGGGCTCGACTTTGCCTGGCCATGCAAAGTCATGCTGTCCTGGCGCGTACCATTCCAGCAGCGTACACTCGTCAACGTGCATTTCTCGGCTCTCCAGTTCTCGTGGCAGGTCCTTCCCCTGACGCGCATACTCGCAAGCCTTGATACCGTTAATCTTCAATGCCGAGTACAGAGGGGGCAGTTGCTGTATCGTTCCTCTGAAAGTCCCAAGCTGTTCATCAACCAACTCTTTTGTCACATGCGAGTATCCCGCTTCCTGGGTTATGGAACCAGTACAGTCGTAAGTATCAGTGCTTGCACCGAACAGCACCACTGTCTCATAAGTCTTGCTGCAAGATAGATAATTAGAGAGCTGCTTAGTGCCACGGCCGATGCCCACAATAAGAACTCCAGCAGCCAAGGGATCTAGAGTCCCGCCGTGTCCAAGACGAAACACTTGATCAGACGATTTGCTGGTGCGCTTGGGTTGTGTCCTGAGTAGTGGCGCAAATGTGGCTGATGGCGCAAAAGTTTCCTGCAATTTAAGGAGAACATCTGCAGACGAGATGTTTGCTGGCTTGGCAACAGCTACTCAATCATCAGGAGGGAGAAGCAATCAGGAAAAAGCAGACGCACCGAAGATACCCTCCAGGACTTTTTCACCCTCGTCGTCCATGATGGAAGACAAGCCGCGGTTGGTAGGAGTCGGAGTTCCAACGCGATGAAAGAAGCAATTGTTTCCAATGCCCGGCGCACTGGGCTACTAGCGCGAATCCTTCACCCCACTTCCCTCACGCCCTACGCCTTGCGAGAAGATAATATGCACGCCTCATGGAGAATACACGTGAGATGATGCACTCGGCATATTGCTTTATATCGCTGCACCTTCTTGCACACAAGTGCCGTTCCAGCCTCGATTCTCTCACTGCCTTGTCGTGCCCGTCTCGGTCTAATATTTTCTTTACTGGCTCTCCTTTGCCCCCTCTCTCCAACCATGGACCAGCAGCAACTGGATGATTGGCAATTTCCGCTTTGGAGTGAAGAAGAAATAGAAACATCTTACTTCGAGAGGTTTCTAGCTACAGATGTAACGCAAGATGTGACCCTTGCCACACCTATGCCGCCCGACGCATTCGGCACCAACACCCGGACGAATAACATGAACTACGAGGACCTCTATGCAGGGAGAAAACTAGGATCGTCGAGCAATACCTGTTCGGTAAGCTATCCAATCGATGTCACTCCCAACCAAGCAGTCGAAGGCCACAGACAAATACCTGTACCACGACAGCACACGCTTCCTCGTCGTCGCAGCAAGTACATGATCCGGACATCAATAGGAACATCCAGTCCCATTGCCATTCCAATCAGCCCCCAATATGAAAACGAACATGAGCAATCTTTGACGATGCAGCGATGGCGCAATTCACCACCTGAAGATGAGGCGGCATCTTTCACCGCCATATGCGACGCTCTCGATGGCCGGCCCGTAGGAATAGCACCGAGGATCAGTCGTTCTTCAAGTCACAATGCTTTTCGAAAGTATCGAGGCCCATCATCGACAACCAGTCTTGACAGTGCAGCGAGTGAATCTTCGTTGCGATCAGTCAATTCAAGTCATTCTGCTACATCGCAAACTAGACGTCGTAGTCAGGCTAGTAGAACACGTACGAAGGGCAAGGCCAAGATCAAGAATGTAGACGACCCAAAGCGTATTTTCAAATGTACCTTCTGTTGCGATACATTCAAAACCAAGTATGATTGGACACGGCATGAGAAGTCACTACATCTGAACATGGAGGAGTGGGTATGTACGCCGCATGGGGCTTCTGTCGTGCTGCCTTTGACTGGCAGAGTTCATTGTGCATACTGCAGTGCGCTTGATCCAACCCCTACCCACTTGCAGCAGCATAACCATGAGGCTTGTGACAACGGCCAATCGACGCCTCGTATTTTTCGCCGAAAGGACCATCTCGTTCAACACCTCCGCCTCGTCCATGGGCTAGATACACTTCCTCTTATTGAAGACTGGAAGCTCGAGTCAAGTCCCATTAAGTCTCGCTGCGGCATTTGCGATGCCGTCTTGAGAAGCTGGGATGAAAGGGCAGACCACTTGGCAGCGCACTTCCGCGAAGGAAAGACGATGGACGATTGGACAGGCGAGCATGGCTTTGAGCCTGCTGTATCTGCTCGCGTCCTTAATGCATTCCCGCCTTATCTTATTGCAGAGCAAGCAAAAACAGTGGTCCCTTTCTCCGCGACGAACCCAGGCTCAATTGACCATACCAAGCAGTTTATCTCGCACCTCCAATCAGAGGAAGCAGCTTCTGCACTTACCACCGAGGATACACGATTTCAGGACCAGCAGGATTTGAGCAACTCTCTGGCTGCGCTTCGAACAATGCCATCTCTACACAACAACTATGATTTTGCTACAGTTCTTACCCGCCATCTCAGCCGCTTTGCGAGGCAGCAGATGCTCATGGGTATTATTCCTACAGACGAGATGTTTCAACGAGAGTCACGAAGGCTCTTTTATCAAGACGGAGATGATGGATGGAACCAGACTTTAGCTGACCATCCAGGTTGGCTACAAGATTTTCGTCAGCAAGGTGGATTTATGTAAGGAGCCAAGCAAGCTGCGTATAGGGCAGTGCTGGTACCAGGACGCAAGTAGTAAGAGCCATGAGTGAATATGCCCGAGTCCGCGCGTCCACGGTGGAATAGGAATGTAAATCCCTAAATGGCCGAAAATGATACGCTACACTTGCGTGGGGAAGGAAGTTACGCGAACAGTACACTTGTACCCGGAAATGCCGAGATCCATCAATACATTCGCCGGTTGCTCTTGGTACCATCTTTGCTTCGTGTAGGAATGGAAAGCTCATGCTTGTAGCTTGCAGCATGAACCTTGACCGTTCTCTGTGACTTCAGCAAGAAAGTGCGTATCTGCTGGTTCATCCAATGTAACGTTGTTTGTCAAGCTTGAATTCGAACGCCTGGAATGAAGAGCTCGCATCGAGCTCTCTCTCATAACTCGCCAAGATTTGAGGGATGGTCTGACCAAAGCTTAACGATGCCCTGAGTAACCGGATCAAGGGTCAAAGATCGCTGGGGCATATGACGGACTACAAAGTACTAGCTCAAAGGCAAGCGCACAGACCAAACATAAATGAACTGCAAGCCTCTGTGTCATCGTCCTCGAACTCAATACGAACACCTTCCTGTGACTGTTCCTCTGCACGGACGATTCTGACCGCTCAAAATTTCATCCAAGCATCGTCCAAGACGCAAGGTCTTTCAATGAAAAATGAACAACACAGCAGCCTGGGCAAGTATCCGCCACGGAGCCTGTCATGAATCTCTTACCTTAGCCTCACTTAGTATCAGTGATACGTGAGGAGTAAACAAGACACTTCTGAGAGCACGGTGACTGTCATCTCAGTATCCACTACGATGCATAAGCACAACGGCTTTACGTACTACCTAGCCCCACGGGAGACGTGCGCTTTCACTTTCAATCACTAGTGATTGGGTCCAAGATGTCTCGATCAACTCTCTTTTCGTCCAATCTTTCCCTTACCCTGTCCTTGGCCGACTTGATGGAGCGCCTTATTTTGTCTTTATCGAAATAGGAAGAAAGAGCGGACTCAACCGTTATGTGTTGACAATCTCAGTGAACCAAGGGATGCAGTAAAAGTTAGGTAGCCCACTACTTCAAAAGGCTAGAGAATTTGAATACGTTCAATAGTAAGCTTCGAGGTGAAGGCTTAATCTATCATGGCGCGCTATTCGTATAACTAGCCTGGTCTCTTGAAGTTTCAGCCATGCAACTGGTCCTTAGTGCCAGTACAAATAGTGCGCATCCAATTTTATCTTAGTTCTTCATCTATTGAGAACATTGAATATGAGAGAGACTCTTTTGAGGAGCGGAACCGGATGTTTTCAGGTGGGTCAAAGATGACGTTGTCAATAAGCCGTCCATCCATGAAGGCAATCTGAACAAGCTCAGTTATGCTAGGCAACCTTTATCATTGTTAATCGCCCAACACTCGCGATAAGGGACATATTAAAATGCGCAAAATAAGGTTTACTTTTTCTTTATCATGCTAAAATGTTTCAGAAGATAAATTGTTGGTAATAAGATCAACAAGTGGACCAAGTGGAGTTGCCCACACGATCGACGCTGAGCATTTGCGGGGTTAAAAACGGACTTGTTATGACCCTTGATTGACGAACACACGGGAGGGACGGCCCAGTTGACTCGTGCGCGGCTCTTCATCCGGGTTCGGTGGTTTTCTGCTACCTGACCCTTTGCACGGCAATTCATTCGGCGTCTTTTGACAGCGAAGTTCGCAACCTAGCCTTGATGAAGAAGCAACAACGAAAATCAGTTATCAGTACTTTCTATGCCTGGAAACCTTAGCGAATATGAAAGAGACCCCATATACGAGGTGAGCAAGATACGAACTTGGCCCACAGTGGGGTTGCTCGTAGGTGGGGACCATCGTAGATGTATAAATAGCGGAGGGGACGATCATGAAAGTGAGAGTTAAGAACTCAGCTGTCATTCCTCACAAGTATCATCTCACCCAGAGATTTTTCTAAACTTGAAAGTTGCCGCGATGCAGAGCCAATTCAACGAGTCTGCACCTTCGGTAGCGTTCTTTTGCCCACAGAGCAAGGCTCCAACAGAGGCCTACCTCACACAATTACAAAAATACCTCATCCAAAATCCTCGTCTACAGCCTCTTTCAGAAGCCATCATATCACTGAAAGACACGTGGGACACACTCTGCAACGAGTATGCGGACATTGCGAAAGTCACAACAGGCCCGCAACATGTTCTCAATCTAGAGCGATGGGTTACCGAAGGCATATCTGGACCTGTGTCCAAATCAATGTCTGGTGTTCTTTCTTTACCATTGCTGATCGTCATTCATATCTGCCAGTACTTCCAATGGCTGGACAATCACAACCTCACACACGCCGAAGTGCTACAAAGTCTGAAAAGTGGTGGCGGTGCGCAGGGATATTGTGGAGGTCTCCTTACAGCGTTCGCCATCGCTTGCGCTGAAGACGAAGAAAACGTCGTTTGCCTTGCCAGTAAGGCTGTACGCTTGGCCCTTGCGATGGGAGCATTTGGCCAACTTGGCGACGATGAATCAGTTCCTGGAGTGACAACAATTGCGGTGCGGTCGAAATCTTCTCAGCAAGGAACCGAGCTAATCAGAGATGTTCTTGGTGTAAGTCATTCTCATCGGTCCATGAGTAACTTCCCATCTTACCCATCGTCTCATTTGCTCCGGCCGTATTCAGGTCCAGAAATGCCTGTCACATCGTCATCCGATTTCCTTGTTGCACAATAACTATGTGCTCACAGTGACCAGTGTTATATTTCGGCTGTAACCGAACCGAGAAATATCAGTATCGTAGGTCCAGTACTCGAGCTCAAGAAAGTGGCCGATAGAGCACGTGATCAGGGCCTAACGGTCTCTGATATTCATATCCGCGGCAAAGTACACAACCCAGAGAACGCATCTTTAGTTAATGTGTTATTCGATATATGCCAGAAACATGAAGAGATGAGCCTGCCTGACGCCAGAGAATTACGAGTCCCTGTGCGATCGAATTTGAATGGCAAATCGGTACAAGGCTGTTCACTAACCTACGAGGCGATAAACGCCACTCTTGCCTCCCGCTGCGAGTGGTGCCAATTATTGAAGGAGGTATCAAGAGATCTAGCAGGAACCCATAATAAATCTCACACGTTCGTATTGTTTGGCTTTGGGGATGTTGTTTCCCTGATGCCATTCCACAATGCGCGCTTACAGGTAACGAAGCTGGACGCTTACACCACTATTCAGAACGCCGCACTAGATAAGTACGAATAGTAAGTCACTCCAGGAAACTAATACCGCTGTGACCTTATTTTTGCCCAAACTAATATAGATCTAACAATCAACGCTAGTCCCGAAAGCGCCATCGCCATCACTGGAGCTGCATGTCGACTACCAAAGGCAAATGATCTTGAGGAGTTATGGAACCTCCTTTCTGCCGGGATATCGACTTGCGAAGAAATTCGCCTCGACAGAGTGTCCATGCACGAAAGTTTTCGCGCAATGCAGAATGAAAAATGGAAGCCAAAATGGTTCGGTAACTTCATTGATGGAGCAGACGAATTCGACTGGAACTTTTTCCGCTCAAATGTCAAAGCAGCGGCCAACATGGACCCACAACAACGAATCCTGTTAGAGCTGACATACGAAGCTCTTGATTCCGCGGGCTATCTCCGCAGACATCGTCGCGAAAATGGCGATAAAGTTGGTTGCTTCATTGGAGCAAGTTACGTTGAGTACGCTGATAATACAAACGCCTATCCACCCACTGCATATTCAGCAGTTGGTACGATTCGGGCATTCCTGTGTGGTAAACTAAGCCATTGCTATGGTTGGACCGGACCAGCTGAAGTTATCGACACTGCATGCTCGTCCTCTCTTGTCGCCATCAATAGAGCTTGCCGTTCCATCCAGTCTGGTGAATGTCCAATGGCCATTGCTGGCGGAGTGAACATCATATCTAGTGTCCACAATTACTTGAATCTTGGGAAAGCTGGTTTCCTCAGCCCGACTGGTCAATGTAAGCCGTTTGACGAGTCGGCTGATGGATACTGCCGAGGTGAGGGAGCTGGACTTGTAGTGCTGAAGCCCCTTAAACAGGCTTTGGCAGATGGTGACCAGGTGTTGGCTGTCATATCAGGATCATCCACGAACCAAGGAGGGCTGTCCGAGAACCTGACACTGACGCATCCACCAGCCCAAGTGGACTTGTACAAGTCAGTTCTCAAGGGCGCCAAAATGAGCCCACGCCATGTTTCATACATCGAAGCACATGGTACTGGCACATCTCAAGGTGATCCATTAGAGGTCAGCAGCATCAGAGAGGTGTTTGGCGCATCGGATCGGCCAAACAAGGTGTATCTTGGTTCCATCAAAGGCAACACCGGCCACGCAGAATCAGCAGCAGGCGTTGCTGGGCTTATCAAAATCATTGCCATGTTGCAGAAGAAGTCGATTCCGCCTCATGCTTCGTTCAATACATTGAACCCGAAGATACCCTCTTTGGGCCCAGACAAGATCACTATAGCACGGAATCTAGAGCCATGGAACATTCCTTTCAGAGCAGCCTTGGTCAACAACTATGGAGCTGCTGGAAGTAATGCAGCAGTAGTTGTTTGCGAAGCACCTCGGAAGGATGTTAGCAAAGCGTAAGTTACTCCTACATCTAAGACTGCCAATACTAACATGAGTGATTAGACGAACTTTTTCACATACGAGCACCGTATACCCCATCATCCTCTCTGCCTTCACACAAGAGAGCCTGTTGGCTTACGTAAAATCGTTGAAGTCTCACATCAGCCGAACGAATGTCAACCTAGCAAGTCTTGCTTTTACTCTTTCCGAACGGCGAAAGCGACAGCCTATGGCATGGATGACAACCGCCTCTAACATTGACGACCTACTCAGTCAGCTTTCCACAGACATCCCGCCTTGCGAGATACCTCGGGCATGCAAAAAAGTGGTTCTTGCATTTTCCGGTCAAAGCAAACAGGTCATTGGTTTATCAGAAACTCTATATGAGTCCATTCCCAGGCTACAATACTATATCAATAAGTGCGATGGTATCCTGAAAGAGCTTGGATATTCATCAATTATTCCAGCTTTGTTCCAGAATACGGCTATTGCCGATCCTGTTTTGCTGCAGACGGGTACCATGGCCGTTCAGTACGCGAGTGCCAAGTGCTGGATTGATGCAGGCGTTGAACCCGCTTGCACTATCGGGCACAGTTTTGGAGAGTTGACAGCGTTGGCTGTGTCGGGTGTGCTGTCTCTTGAGGATGCTATCAGGCTTGTTGCCGTTCGAGCCCAGCTTATGGTAACCAAGTGGGGTCCAGATAAAGGTACCATGCTTGCTATCTTCGCGCCAGTCTCTGTTGTTGAAAACATCATTGAAGTCGTTGGTAACGGAACTCTCGAGATTGCTTGCTTCAATGCTTCAAACAGTCAGGTTGTCGTCGGAAAAGAGATGGCAGTGGCTGATGTGGAAAACGTTTTGGCAACTAACCCCTCGTTCAAGGGAGTTAGGAGCCAAAGGGTCGATGTCACCCACGGATTTCATTCTGCTTTCACTGAGCCCCTCCGCACAGAACTTTCTGAGTCCTTGCGATCATTGTCTTTCAGAAAAGCATCCATTCCCATTGAGACCTGCACACAACAGCAGACTGATTCAATTACTGATGAGCACGTTCTGTCACACCTCCGGAAACCAGTCTACTTCGTTGACGCAGTCAGACGAATCGAAGAGCGTTTTGGGGATTGCATCTGGATAGAGGCAGGATTTGATTCACCTATCGTCTCAATGATCAAGCGTGCTGCTGCAGATTCGGATAGGCACTCATTCCATGCCATTAAGACAACTGGTATTGAGCGAGCCACTGAGTCACTTTCCCAAATCACTATTGGTCTTTGGAAAGAAGGGCATGACATTACTCCTTGGCCTTTCCTATCTCCGGCTGATGTTGGCGTGGAACCCATCTGGCTGCCGCCTTATCAGTTTCAGAAGACCAAAGCTTGGCTGGACAACATCGATAGGGCCACTGAAATCCAGCGAGAACTGGAAAATCTCAAAATCCAAAAAGTGAATGTCCCCCCAGCAAATGTTCCTCTATATCTACTACGCCATGTTGGTTCTACTGGGAGTACAGAGAAATTTGCCGTCAACAGTTCGGCAACCCGTTTCCGTAAGCTAATCAGCGGTCATTCGGTCAGAGGTCGGCCACTGTTCCCAGCTTCTCTGTATATGGAATGCGCGGCAATGGCAATCCATCTTCTCGGCTCAGAGCTTGGGTCTAGGTCAATGGTGTTCGAGGATCTATCCTTCAAATCACCACTAGGTTTCAATATGGACCACGAAATAGAACTGAGTCTAGAGAAAACAGATAGAGACAGCTGGAGTTTCGTCCTTTCCAGCTCTCTTGGTTCTGTAAATAACTCAGATCGTGCAACCGTTCATGGAATAGGCAAACTACACTTGGCTAAACAGCCTAGGTTTTCCACATACAAACTCCTGCTTGCGGAACGTATCAAATCAATTCGATCAAATCCCACTTCCGAGAAGATAATGTGTGGAAGAGCTTATCAGCTTTTTTCAAAGGTTGTTCATTACGCTGAATCCTCACAAGGAATTGAAAGCATCACCATCAACAAGAATGAGGCGCTAGCTACAATCCGCATACCAGAAAGTCATATCGGAAGCGAAGAAAGCGCGGTAAAGAAGCACTGCGACACTGTTTCTATCGACATGTTCCTCCAGGTCTCTGGCCTGCTCATCAATAGTAGCTCAGTCTGCTCTAGAGATCAGGTGTTCATAACTTCGGGACTCGAAAGCGTTACCATGTCTAAATTGTGCGACTTCGACTCCGTCAAAGAATGGAATGTCTATGCCATTTTCTCTCTTGTCAATGGCAAACATGCGACAGGCGACGTCTTTGTCCTTACCAAAGACAATGAGATTGCCATGACCGCGATCGGGGCCAAGTTCCACCGAATAGAGATAGCGAGAGTGGAACAGATACTCGATGTAGCAAATGGGTCGAACATCGATTCAAAACCGAGTCGAGCCTCGTCTCCAGCTAGTTACACGGCCATCACAAGCAAGAATCTTCCGGAGCTAACATCCGATGGCTCTTCAGACACTTCAGATTATTCCACCACCTCTTCCTTGGCTGGAGATAGATCTGAAGATTTCGAAACTCGATTGAGGACGATAATTTCTACCTACATTGGCGCACCTGCAGACTTTATTCCCCAGACCACTTGTATTGGTGACCTCGGGATTGATTCACTTGCGACAATAGAGCTCTCTGATGAACTCAAAGAACAATTTGGCAAATCAGTTTCCCATCATGAGCTCCAGACATTGAATCTTAGTGCATTATGCCAGATAGTATCTGCTGATTCCATGAGAGTTACTAGGAAACTCCCCGTTACATCGAGAAAACAAGTCGCACAGACGCCTCCAGTTGTATCCGAGATACGTGTGTCAAGACCCAAATCGAATCTGATTGCTAGTGTAACACACAAACTAGTCGATGAAGAGTCTGAAACCAATATACGACAAGCCAAACTATTCAAACTCATTTCCGAGTTTTGTGGTGTGGATGTGAGTCACATACAAGAGGACCAGTCTCTCGCAGACCTCGGATTCGATTCCCTTTCTACGATAGAACTGGGATCGAGTTTATCCGATGAGTTGGACATCAATCTTGACAGCACCGACGTGCTCCTTGATTATTCCGTCAAAGTCCTTATGAAGTTGGCTGGTATCTCTTCAAGAAAACAAAGTTCTGGGCTCTCAAACCCACCAGTTTCTACTGTGAGAGGTGTGCCAACAAGCAGTCGTGGGAAGGCTGCAGGTATCACCGATCCGTTCAAGTCTCTCATCGCAGCTGAATCTTCCCTTCTAATATACGCGAAAGATTGCCAGTATACAGGGTATTTGAATGAAGTCGCGGCTCGTCAAGATGAACTTCTCCTTGCATACATGATGGAAGCGCTACAAAAATTGGGCATTGATTTCAGAACTCTTAGCATCGGCCAAAAGATTCCCAGCTTCTCGTATCGGCCTAAACACTCCAAGGTAGTGCAGAGGTATTATGAGATTCTTCAGAAGCACAAAGTCATCGATAAGAAAGGCTCAGACTACGCTCGATCATCCGCGTCGTGCAACTTTGCACCTTCCTCTCAGCTCTTGCGTAAATTCATAGCCGACTTCCCTCAATACAGCTGTGAGGCAGAACTCATGTCTCTCACCGGATCGAAGCTAGCAGAGTGCTTAACGGGTACCGAAGATCCGATCAAACTCCTCTTCGGCAACCCAAAGGCACAAGAAATCATTGGCAACTTCTATACCAAAGCGCCCATGTTCGCCACTCTGACCGAGCTCCTCGTCGATTTCTTGCTTCGTCTGGCTAGAAACGCCGACACGCCCATCAGCATCCTGGAAGTTGGAGCGGGCACAGGAGGCACTACAAAGCGGGTCATCGAAGCACTAAGCAATCTCAACCACCCTATTGAGTATTTCTTCACAGACATTTCCCCAACGTTTGTCCGAAACGCGTCCAAAAAGTTCAATCGCCCCGGCATGCAATTCAGAGTACTCAATCTAGAGACTCCACCTCCCGCGGATTTGCTTGCCAAATTCGACATCGTGATTAGTACGAACTGCGTTCACGCTACAATAAACAGGGCCGATACCTGTCGTCGCATCAAAGAAATGCTAAAATCCAACGGTGTTTTGGTGCTTTCAGAAATAACCACCAAAATTGACTGGCATGAGGTTGTTTTTGGACTGCTGGATGGCTGGTGGCTGGCGAATGATGCCGATCACGCCATTCAACCACCAGAAGTATGGATGAAGTTTATGCGTCAAGCTGGATTTCCTAGTGCCAGTTACTCGCAAAGTACATTACCTGAATGTAACCTTCAGAGACTGCTCGTGGCTTCTGTAGAACGGTATCCGGAGCCGGCCCGTTAGATGAAGCTGCCGGCGGCTGGAGTAGAAATGAAGAGCCAGATGTTACGTGGCTGATAGATAGATGTGCTTTCGGGTCCTTTTCATCTGGGGTTAGATGGCTTATATATACTTTTTTCCATTGGCACGTACCCATCATTCGCCATCAACTTACGGTTCAGTTACTGTAGGAGTTTCATTCTGGTGCGTAGAGCGTGACTTGCAATTCCGTGCATTCGCCACTAACCCAGCATAGGATACCACAGAGTGTTGATAGGCACGGGGCAAACAGCGATTTGGTTCACGAGACCCAATGAGAGTAATGTAATGATACACCCAGATCATGCAAAGGCATTCGATTTTGAGAAAATTCACATACTACAGGGTTTACTCGGGCCCACCTTTCATTTTGAAAAAGACAGCCATGTGCCATTTCCACCGCAATTGCAACTGAGTCGCTACTTAACAGTAAGTGGTGGCTGGGTAAGCGACGGAACGGAACGGCGCCGTTGACGGTCCGTTACATACTAGCTGCATGACGCATAGACAGCCGCGTGATGCACGATTTGCTTCCCGTGCAGCACTTGAGCTTCCTTTTTCGAAGAAGCCCGGGAACTAAATAGTGCTCAAATGAAGGGCTTGGCTCAGGATCTGCTCACCCGGTGCTAGGCATATACGGAGCACATGTTAAAGTGGGCAATATTGCTCCAAACTCCTCGAAGGGAAGCCTGATGTTCGATGCGAATGTATAGAAACAAAGATTGATTGGAGACTAGTCTTGGTTACTCTTGTGCTGCAGCTTTTCTACCCTTCTCCAGAATGTCTGCCAGCCAGTCGTGGAGCGTCAATGAACTTTCCTGAACAATTATCATCATGTTGTACCACAGCGACCGCATTCCAGATTTTTTTAGTTTGGTCTTTCGTCTTCTTAAATCCTTCTTCATAGTTATCCATAGCAACCTTGTACCCAATATATGTAATCTACTGCTGTCTCTGTACTGATGATTCCGTTTCCAACATCCATACCTCCCGCCCTGTAGTCTATTGTTTCATCTCCCACGTCAGCGAGATATTTGTTCATTGCCATTGTCGTAGTTTAGGTTTGTCTCAAATTGGGAGCGCGTAAAGGTCAGATCTCTGGCAAGATGTTCCATGATGGTTTGTTGCTTCCGCACAACCTCAAGAAGCTCCTCAATAATCTTCCGGTGGTTATACCTGGAGTGGTTGGGCAGGGCCATGCCACTAGATTGATTTTTGGAATCGTTGGCACTCATGTCTGCTGTTCGGGTTGATGCATTCTAAGTATGTATGACTCGTAATTTGAATATTTGCGCGGGGACTTACTATGTTGCCAGAGGGAATTGTGTAATTCGAGTAATGTGAGACACGATTGTCAGCAACCCCACTGCTACTGACAACATAAGTAGGAGCATGTGGATCCTGCTGTGCCACAAGTACGCCACATCAGCAATAGCATACTATAGCTCAATACATCATCACATTATCAAGACAACATGACAAATCCATATACCGAATCTCATATCTGACATCTCAGAACTCTCGAAAAACTACTTCGGAGTGTCAGAACAATATCAAGTGCTTCAAGAAATGTTTTAAAGTCAAACATTTACCCTACAGTCCGAAAATGCGGAGACAGGCCAAAGTTCCTTTTGGAGATGTGATGAAGTCTTAGATGCGAAAAGCCACGGTAAATGGCACAATTGAATGTATGCCCACCATTATAACAAGTAAGTCATGAGTGGACATTGACGTCTTCGTTGAAAAGAAATTCCGAGAAAACATAGTAAAGCAATAACGTATCATATCGAAGCGAGAGAGAAAACAGCAACATCGAAGATTGAAGATCAAAGCATGTTCGTGAAGTAAATCTAGGAGTTCATTCTTTGCCTTTGATAATCTTCTCCAGCACGTAAGTAAGATCTGACCATCCCACACGGACTTGTCTTGCGCATTAATAGCAAGACTGCCTTATGTCCAGCATCAACAAATCACGTTCCAGAAAAAGCCCGTGCATGACCGCCAAAAACAACATCACCACTCAACAACAAAAAAGCTCAAAATAAAGACACATATACACAGAAAGAGAGAGTGTAAGATAAGGATACTTTTGATTCTTAATACATCGCAACAATTACAGCAACGGGCGCTCATGCGTAGATCGTGGTATTTACAGAACAAGAAAACAAGGAGAACGACCAAAAAAACATATTCCATGCCCACTATTTAGTTGCAAGTACCAGACGACTTGTCGCAGCCGGCACCACAGTGGTCCTGCGAGCTACCACACCATCCAAACTGGGAGCAGCAGTTACCAAAAGTCGAGCCTTGGCAAGTAGCGCCGGAAGCCTTTGCTCCACACTGGCCGTCGGTAGAGATGGGCTTGGAGGGCGAGGTGCTGCCGCCAGTGCAAGTGCCAAAGGCAGAGTTGCAGCCAGCCTTGCAGTGGCCGTCGGTGCTACCGCACCATCCGAAGGAAGAGCAGCAGTTGCCAAAGGGAGAGCCGGCACAGGTTCCCTTGCCAGAGCCGCATTGGCCGTCGGTGGAGACGGGGGTGCCGCTGTTGCCGCCGCCGTTGGAAGGGGGGTTTACGACCTCGCCGGTCTTGCGGTACCAGTTTGCTTCGGGCTCGCCCATGCACTCGCCCATGGTGACGCCGCGGTAGCCCTTGGACTTGAGGTACTCGAGCATGTAGCCAGTGAGGTTAAGAGCGGTCTGCTCGTGGATATCGTGGGCAATGGCCAGACGGTCACCAGTGGCTGGGCCGCCGGGAGTGGCGTCGAGGATGCGCTTGAAGTTATCCTTGGCGACTTGGATGTTCGTGAGTTGGTTGTAGTCGTCCTTCGAGATGTGTTAGCATGTGAAATTCATACAGGGGAAAAGATAAAAAAGGCTTCACGTACGGTATCCAAGTCAAAGTAGCTGACGACATATCCGAGCTTCTTCATCACAGCCTGGCATGCGGCATTGCAGGATGAGTAAGGGGGGCGCATGTACGTCGGGTACTTTCCGATGATGTTCCTGATGGCCATTTCGTTCTTGACCATCTGATCATAGCGCTGCTCCTCAGTGATGACGCTGAGATCTTGGTGCGACCAAGTGTGAGATGCGACTTGGTGGCCCTCAGCAACCATGCGCTTGATGGCATTGGCCCACTGAGCGGTAGTGTCAATAGCTCCTTTTCCGATGTTAATACCGGTAATGAAGAAGGTGGCCTTGAAACCGTATGTGGCAAATTGGTCTAGAACACGGTCCGTGTAAATGTAAGGACTAAACGGGTCAGTTTGCTGACATGAATGCTTGGAGTTTTCTAGGATAGAAACTTACCCATCGTCATAAGTAATGGCGACAGTTCCTGGCTTCTGGCAAACATAGATGCCCTCGCCACCGTAAGGGACATTGCCCTTCTGAGGACGAGCATCGTTGCGGGTGGAGGTACCGCTAGGAGTCTTGTTGGCATCGCAAGCCGGGCCGAAATCGATCAAACAATCAGGTGCTGAGCAATGGTCCTTGCTGGTTCCGCAATATCCCTTGAAATTGTCAGTATGATCGCTCCTTGGCGTGATTTCCTTGTCGACGACGTACAGCACCAGAGCAGCAGTAGCCGGTAGCACACTTTGCGTTTCCGAAGCTGGGTCCACAACGACCGTTCTGGCCGCCTTGACGGGTCTCCAAAAGCCCATGTCGGGGCTCAGAAGAGTGTCGAAGAGTGCGAGCAGCAACAGGGGCCTTGAAATCGTCCTGGAGGTGGCGAGGAAGACCAAAAAGCTTGGGGGCACCTGGGATTCCTCCATGAGCGGCAACAAGAGGAGCCACCAAGGCGGCGGTAGCAACGTCGGAGAAGCGCATGATGCTAAGAGGTATTATAGTACTAAGTAGATTAAGCGATAGAGGTGATTAGGAAAAGCGAATGGACAGTCTGCCAAGACGAAGAATGGCAAACCAGGTGACGAGCAGCGAAAGCGTGTGGGAAAATCAAAGGCGCCGACGGCAGCAAATACTTATAATAACATGGGGGCATCAACAGTCCTGCTGTGGGACGGGGAGGCATGACGATTTAGGAAGCTAACGAGCGCGAGCTAGGTCGGAGATCCGCCATGCATGTATTGAGCCAAGAACATCGCGAAGGAACGAATACGATACGGCGCCCCCAGCGAAGACATGCGGGAGATTCAAAAAGCCGCCGGGCCATTTGCTCTCCACTTGATAGTAGGATTCGTTAGTCGAGTTTCCAATCACAGGGGCGGAAATTCTCCAGCCATGTACCGTCGTGCCATGTTCCGCCCCAAGCCGGCGTCTTGCTTCTTGTACTCTTGACCCAACAGCGTGCACGCCCCGTCAACAAAGGCGCGCACACGTTGGAACCAAAAAAAAGCCGCCCATGCCGCTGTCAACCGTGCCGTTGATTGTCAGCTCATGTAATAATAAGGGGAAAACGGGTGCGCTGTGACGCCAAGTAAATCGGAGGGCTTGCCAAGCAGCCTTGGGGGACTGGGCCAGCCTACAAATAGATACACCCGACTCGTGACGTGCCTGGCAGGCTGGCCTCGGTTGTGCGGCTCCACATGCGCCTAGGATACTTACCTATAGGGCGGTGCCGACTATACCGAAGGGGTGTTGTGTGTGACATGTGGAGAACGGTGGGAGGCTCTCTCGTCTCAAAGCCGTCCGGATTGGAATCGATAAGTTTCTTTTTGTCTCTAGTATCATAATAGCATCATAATAGTCTCCCTCACCATGGTGCGCTATTGGTCAGTAGCAAATACATCGCCCAGCTCGCCTGGTGCTGTCGAGTGTGCAAATGCATTTCGGAAATCCATCTGGTACGATATTTACTTGGCTTTCCCCGTTTTGCCTCTGCCTCTGCCTCTCCCCCTTCCCGCTGCCCGCCCTCTCGTCGACTTCTTCTTTGGCGATGTTCGATCCGTCATGTCTGTCCAATCTGTCTCGCCTTCGCTTGCCTCTGCAAAAAAGTGGCTCCTGACATGTGCATGGCTTTTCCTGGCGGCTTTGCGCCTTGGCGCTGACCGCCTAGAGGGTGGAGGTGATGGTGGATTTGAGGCTGCATCGGAAAGTGCTCCATTGGACAATTCATCACCCGTTGAATTGGGTTTACGAGTTAAGCGAGCCGGGGCCTTGGTGCCACGTCCTCTAGGACGACCACGACCACCTGATGTGGCAGCCCTAGACTTTTGATGATCCCATTCAAGTTTTGAATGCCCGTATTCTTCATCCTCGTCATTCCGCTTGCCTTCGTCTTCGTCTCCTGTGTCTTGGTCAATAGTCATTGCTTCGTTGTGATCCTGGTTTTCGCTTGGCTCGCTCGAGGGTCGTTGTAACGCTTGAGTAAGTGAGATGGGCGTGCGATATGCAGCCTCCACGACAGGCGCCCGCAAGTCTTTCTTTTCGCCGTCATCTATTGTCAGCTCTAAATCCTCTTCCTGGCTCGCGGGCAGAAAACCGCCTGCCATGTCCAGGCCACGCTCGGCTGTCTGATGTGCCTTGTCTGGCATAAAACCGCCACCACCAGACAGTTCCACATCTTCTCGCACAAAGCCCCCCTCAAAGTCAGTCTGGGCCTCAAACACTTCCCACTGTGACTTCCTGGTCTTGGGGTTTTCCTCTTCATCCTTCGGTGGTAACACCTGTTCTTTGACCGGTAATTCTACATCCTCACCATACTCCTCCCTCATTCTGTCTACAATCCTCAGTCCAGACGCAAATCTCCTCCAAAGCCCTAGCACAAATTTCTCCCTTTTCTCCCTTTCTTTTCTTTGCTTCTCCGCCTCTTCAGCTTCCCAAGCATCTATAAGCATGTCTTCGTGCTCTGCTGCAACCACCACGCCTGTGATCACCGGTACAGCGCGCTGTTTACCAAACTCAAATCCTGTACATGCTTCTGCGTAGTCGATGTTGAGCTTGCGGCATATTCGCGCGGTACCCTTTAGAGGCACGTGAACAGCCCCTTTGGGAATCATTGTTGGAACGTATACATCGATGTTCCCAAATGCGTTACGTGGAATCTTGCCATCGACAATGGGATCAGGAATAATCCAATCGGTCTGTTCCTTGGAGTACAGACCCTGTTTTACCTTACCACCTTCTATGCGTTCACGCTCCTCAATCTCACGCTTTCGAGTAACGGTGACGGCACGCATAGGCACGAGCTTAAGCGGTTGCTGACCTTCCAGCACTTCTCGCCCCTCTTTGTGCCACGATTCTTGTGTCTTGCACAATACAACGTCTTTGCGGCGATAGACCGGTTCCGACTTTTCATTGTCTCCCTTGCCCGTGACAAAGAACCTGACAATCTTCGCACCGCGTCTGAGAGCTTCCTCCCGTCGTAGATGACGTTCCAGTACATATTCGGCGGAGTTCTTGTACCCCTGTAGCGTCTCCTTTCCGCCTTCTTCGTCCATGCCTTTCTTTCTTTCTGCTTGTGCAGGTACGAGGTCACCCTCGTCTTCCACTTCATCCAAAGGTTGGCGTTTATCGTGAGGTCGTGCGTAAGGTCGCATCAACGATTTACACCAATCCCACTCTTCCCATCGCTTGACTTTCCCATGTTTGTTGTGAATCGGTACCTTCTCCACAGGCATGCGGAAACCTTTCGTTCTACCAGGCCATTGATGCTTGGGCAGGTAGCGTGTAGTGACATCCTTTGCACTGCCGTCAGAAGAGAAAGCGATCAAATAGGCCAAGACTTGTTTCGCTTTGTCAGCTGCTCCGCCACGAGCGTAGAAATCCACAAGCTTATCTGGAGAAGCAGTACTTGCAATGATTGTACGAGGAAGCGGAGATACTGATATAGGCGTGTGGGTCAAATGTGAAATGGCCTCTGTCCAATAGGTAGGATATGGCAACTCTTCACCGTAGTTGCGTGCTTTCGGTAATTTTCTTGATGGTCTGTTGTCCTCGGAGTCTGAAGAGATAGATATGACACTACTCAAATCGCTACTGTCATCCATCCTGACATCGATTGATCCATCCGTCTTCTTTGCAGTACCGGGTTTCTTAGTCTTGTTGCTGGTTGGGATTTCTTTTTCCGTACTTTGATTATTGGCGGACTTCGAGTTGTTCAGCTTCTCGAGGTTCTTTGGTTTACCTTCTTCACTCTGACTCCACCCAAACCCAACAGGCTGCAAGCTGACCACCATTCGGGCCTCGATACCTAATCCTCGGATTAGGGCGGTGAAGAGCTGTTCTCCAATATCTCTACTGCCTTGGCACTTTTTTGCGCATTCCCGGAAAGCAGCAATGTCTTCCACGCGTTCGCCAAAAGTATCAGGGTGATTAGGATCGTCTTTCCAAGCTTTGATCTCGGCCTCCAAAACTGACGGCGATAGGTACCCACGCTTTCGCAAGCTTGGGGCAGTGATTTGGAACTTGGACTTCCAGTAAGCTGAGAGATATTTGAGAAGTCTAACCAAAGGGTCACCAGCGGACAGGTTTGGAGAGTTAGGCTCGAGCGGTTCGGCTGCTGCGCCCCAGTCGCGGGTCCTCTTGTCACGTCCAGAAGGTTTCTCTCCCTTGCCCTTGGCTTTATTGCGAAAATCCATTCGCTTTTGCGGGCTTTCGTACACCTTGACACCCGCCTTGCCACTCTCTTTCCATTTTCCTTTGGGAGCTTCCGACTCTTCCTTTTTTGGACTGGGTGGTTTCTGTACCACTACCCTGCTGGATCCATCTCGAATCCCTGCATCATTCCAATACTTCTCTAGTTCACGCCAACACCCAGGGGACATGGCTTCAACCAGAGTCTTTTGAACCACCTTGTCTTGGATCCATGCGTTTCTTATCAGATTATGGAACATCAAAAATTGTACATGAATACAATGAGTGACGGTCCGTATCTGTCTCTGGACCTTTGAGGGGCCCTTTTTCCCATCTGTCTTGGTTTCGAATGCGGTTTTGGGCGCTGCGGACAGCGTCAACGCAATGTCTCCAGTGATGACGGGCGCAGGGCCATGATCTGGCTTTGTGTAATGATGCGTACCAAGCGCATCTTCCCAGTCACCATCTTCGCTTTCGTCGCTGTCTTGATCTGGCTGTGCCTTAGCCTTCCCTTTGTCCTTGGTTGCCCCATTCAACGGTACATCTTCAAATTCATCTTCGGTGCTCTCTAGCTCCGATGATTCACTGTCGCCGTCTTCTTCTTGTTCTTCCAATAGAGCCTTTGTTTGCGAAAGTGTGCGCTTGGTCGTTGGTGGCGTATCCAAAGTCTGGAAGATGGATACTTTGCCTGTGCGAGCGGGCGCTGGAGGTTTGCGGGTAGTACGTGCACGTTTTGGTGGCGATTCTGGGACGGGCGAGGTAGATTGCAAGCGCTTTTGCGCAAGTGTGGGCGGCATGCCTATCCGCGCAGATATCAAACTATCGGGAAATGAGGATTAAAGTGTTGTGTTGTTTATTTGCAGAAGTGAAAGTGCCGTAGCAGGAATGATGACGCAAGGCCCCTGTAGATTTCCGATCGCACGGAACGATCGAGCACAGGGATCCGCCCGTCGCGTACCGCCCTGTCGCGTAGTCACGAGCGTTACGTCGGCATGTATCCGAGAAGATCGGCCTTACGCCTTTTTCTAGAAAATAAAGAATAAGGTTTAGGAGAAAGGCTGGACCTATTGCGCCATGACTTCATGATATGCAACACACCCGACGGGTTACGCATGACCCACCTTATTGTTGTTGTAGAACTCGACAATCCTCCTTGCTGCTTCTTCTATGGTATCTTTATCCACTGAAAATAGGAATCTAAAGTGGCCTGGCATTTCCCCGTGATATCCGCGCGCAGCTGCCATTTCCACACCAAAGTTGTAGAGCCTTTCCTTGAGGTCGTCTTCAGCCTCCCATGTTGGGCTGTGTAAGCATGCCGACAGGTCGATCCAAAGGAAGAACCCAGCGTTTCTATCCAAGGCGTCAGCTCTAGACAAGGAAATGCCTTAAAATGCCCAACACTTACGCTTTCCTCTGGTATGGAATGCCAGCACTATCAAGTGCTTCTGCAACAATCTTTCGGTGTTCTTGCAGAATATGTGCACTCTTGTTGAAGAATTGCAGATGCCACTCCTCATCCTCGAGTATGCATGTCGCGATTGCGTCGGCCATTGGTGACGCACCGTGAAATCGCCTTCGAATGGTTAGTCGTCCCTCACCGGAAATGATAGTAACATACGATAGAGACTGTACAGCCTGTCCTAGCTCTGTGTTCCTGGTGATCAAGCATCCCAACCTCAGGCCGGCAGCAGCAAAGTCCTGTGAATGGTTTGTCAGTGACCAGTGGTGCAAAGCGGCGTGTCGAAAAACTACCTTTGCCATTCCATACATCACGTGAACGAGGTCATTATCGATAATACCGGTTGTATCTAGCGAGAGTATAGATGTAAAGCCCGGGGTTGAGGCACCTGTGTGATATACAGAGTAGGCGTAGATCTCATCACTGATAAGGTGTATCTTGTGCTTGTTACAGAAGCCCAAGATTGCCTTTAACGCATCTGGGGAATAGCATTGCCCTGCACCGTTAGCTTCTCATGCTTCAAAACCAAACGACTGTACACACACCAAGAGGATTGTGAGGGTTGGCCAAAACAAGCGCTCGCACTCTGATACCACTCTGCTCAGCTTGTAGTAGAGTACGCTCATAACACTTGACTGAATTGATACTGAACTGATCGACATCTCCAAACGAGGCATAAACCAGCTTGCAACTGCGAGCGATATTAGTCGTGGCGTCCCAAGTCTTATTCCAAGAGGAACCTAACGCACCTCGACATGCTCTGCAGATCTGGAACAAAGGATCCGTAAATCGGCATGCCTAGAAGCAAAGCATCATTTTCCCCATCGGTCATGCACAATGACAGTATGTCATTCAATGCCGTCACGCCACTGACAAATGAAACATGCTCAACGGCTACGGTTGAGGCCGGTGAAAAGCGTTTGTTGACAAAGGAAGCCATTGCGGCCCTCAGACGCTTAGAACCAAATGGGCCATCATGATAGGTCAGAGACTCTGGCTCGAGAGATGGTATGCACTAAAGTATTATTTAGGCATCATTCAACATTGTGTCTGTGAAGGCTGACCTTTGTCTTGATATAGGCAAGCGCTTCATCATGCATAAGAAACTGCTGCATGCATCAGCACTCTGTTTCTCTCTCTCGACGTGGTAGTATTCGATATGGCGCTCACTGACATTTTCAGCGTTTTTAAAAGAGACTAAGCCATCTGGGTGCGTGTCTTTGTTGTACAAAGGGCTACGAACTTTGGTATAGCCAGCCGCCAAATCCAAGGCTGCATACTGACGCCCCCGGGCTGATAACATGGCTTCTACGGGGCGTTGTTAGTGGTTTGCTTGCTGATTGCTAAGGCTGTACGTAGTTTGGTCAAGGACTTTAGGCTACGTACGCAAGTCAATGCGGGGCAGACTCCGTACACAACCAGATTTCCGACACACGACGTGATCCTTGTCATATTAACCTAGTACACTGAAGTTCTTAGCTCTAGTACCTATCGGAATGAAGTGCTGGCAAGTCTGAGTGGGCAGAACGTGGCGCAAGGCGGAGCTTGGCTGGCTGGTACCCTTGTTGGTGGATGCCTAGGAGGCCGCTCGCAATGTAAATCCTGATGCGTCCTGACGAGCCAGTGCCCCGGAATTGTGAGTCAAACCTGAAAGGCTCGCTATCGAAGCCAAAAAAACAACAAGCGTGAGGCTTGCCTCATAAAGCATCGACCTGAATGGTACGGCTGAAGCGGTTGCCTCAATGTCAGGATGACTCGTGACGCTGGTGTGCCATAGGCGGCCTGTAGAGAAGTTGCAATATATATCCAGCACAAACACCCAGCCTGCACATGAAGCAAGTGGAATGCTTTGTATCCATAGCAGTTGTCAATACATATACGAGACTATTTGTCTAGACTGCGTGCTTTTGCACCAGAAGCCTCCTCTGCATATCAACAAAACTCAGTGCAGCGTCATCGACAAACGAACTCGAGAGAATTAGACACGCAATCGCGATGACGAAGCCTGCTTTATATCGCAAAAGCGTGGGTGCTCACAATGAAATGATAACAAGGGTGGAGTGAAAGTTTCCGGACGCGCTGGCACGTGAGAAGAGATGGCAACACCATTTCTTCGCCAGTTACCAAGCAGCTATTTCTTGAGGGCATCTAGACTACGCAACACTGAACAAGACACATAGTAGGAAAGGAGACCAAAAAGATGCCTAGACAATGGCGATGTAGGTAAGTCACGTGTCCAGTTGAGCCGCATAACCCCTCTCCAGATCTCGAAGTGGCATGGTGTCAAGACAGTGGAGGGTTGCGCATCCCTGACCGCTGCGCGGTGCCGCCGCAGTTTCCTTCGACACGCAACCACCACAATCACACACTTTATTGCATCAAAGTTGCACTTTCATCAATACTAACATGTCCAACTGACAAAACCACAGCTGCAGAGCTCCCAAGGTCGCTAAAATGGTCGGCACCTACATCATCAACATAGCCACAGCTCCCCGTGACCTGTGGCTCCTCAGGCAGCCGGCCTCCCCCAGTCCTCTGCCACTGGCATGCACCCGCGATCCCAGATCTCACGCCCTTTTTTGTCTGGCCAGTCCTTCCTTTCCTCCTTCACTTTGCTCTCCATTGTTGGTATTCTCTGACCATACAGTCTTGCAACCCTTACTGTCCTCTTCACTGCCTCTGCCATCCTCGTACACTCCACCATAACCAGGTCGCTTCCTTAGGCATCCACATCCACACCAGAGCATGTACACATTGCTGCTGTTCACAGTGCTGCTCACTGTTCTACTCCCGCCAGCGGCAGCTTCCGGCCCAATCATGGATCTAACTCCGCCTATCAGTCCATTGGACTTGACATACCCAGTAGAGGAGCTTTTCGTATGCCACTTTTGCGCCGGCATGCAGTTCGAGTTTTGCCAGTGCATTCTGGCCCTGGTAAGACTTTCACCCGTCTGTGTCCAACTCCCTCCTAACAACACCAGCCGCAGATGCCGTACAATTACGTAGCAGCGCCCCAACACCACGCTCCCATGAACATGCCGCCGCCGCCGGCGGGTACACACCAGACGGAAGTGAACTTGGCACCAGTTTGGGACTACGTCACTGGCGACCGTAGGCCAGTTCTGAACGAGTACATCCAGCGCATTGATGCGAACGAGACAACTGTGCAGCCCATTACTGTGCAGGCGTACATTCACGATATATACACTCCCGGCGACCGCTCGTCGTCGTCGCGCCAGACTAAGTCTGCGAAGCGCTCAAGCAGGCGGCAACCTCCTCGTGAAGGTGGTTTTGTCTGCAACGAGTCGGGATGCACTGAAGTATTCAATCGTCAGTGCGACCTCAAGTGAGTCTAGTCTCGAGAGGATGCAAGTCAGCGTAACTGACCGCCGGTAGCCGTCACCAGAAGACATCCCATCGCAATGAGCGGCCTCACGTGTGCCCGACTTGCGGCAAGGGATTTATGTACCCGAAGGACCTTCGTAGACACAAAACTCAACACAGAGACCCTTTGTCCGCCATGGACACCTTTCGCTGCGAACATCCCGACTGTACCAACCTCGATGGCTTCTCGCGCAAGGACAACCTCCAGAGACACAAGCGAAGGCAGCACCAGCAGCAATAGCTGCTGCGTGACGCACAGTTGACATTTCTTTCCTAGTCATCGGTTCCTCTTGCTTTGTTACCCATATCCTATCTCCTATCTCCTATGCCCTGTCATCGTGGCGATTAATACTGCTTCTCTTTCTTTTTTACGGTAACGTCTAACTGTTTCGTTGATGTTGATCTTTGACGGCATTGCTATTGAAGGCGCTGCGTAATGTTTGTGTTATTTGGATAATACCCTTCACTGACGGTTGTAGCAAGTGCTGCTTATGACTTGGATGGCCTGGCGCCATGTTGTTTCATTTTGTCATGTCAAAAGAATCTCTTTTCTTTTTTGCCTCATGTCCTGGCGTAACGTGTAGGCAAAAAAAGGACTATGCGATTGTGTTTCGTCACGTAACTTGTTGGAAAAAAATGTGGTCCGCTACAGCAGCGAGCCAGAAAGAAACCATGCTCAGCTTGGTAATCAAAAATTTAGTTGTCGTTCACTGTGTTTGTTATTCGTATTGCCAATGAATTTGTGTCTAGTGATTTCTCGATGCTCAGATGACGTCAGTAATCCTCGATGCTCGAGAATAATTTTGGAACAACACATTGTTTCAATTGCACCTTTAACAGCCATTGACATTTTCACATCATGGGTGGGGGGGGGTTTCGCTCTAAAAAGCTAGGTATAGATATGACTGCTCAAAAGTTCGTCCCATATCATTAATTCGTTTGCCTCGCAAAGTCCAAATCGAGCATTGACTTTGGTATCACATTCGCCCATCATTCTTCACGAGAACTTGTCGGTGAAAAAAGACTTGAGGCGATCCCAAACAGGCAAATCCTGGCTCTTTGGTCCATTCAACTTGTGGTAACCCGGCTGCAACGTCTGGAAAACGCCCTCGGGGTCATACTTGTGCGCAATGTCCTTGAGCTTCTTCGCGCTTTCACCGTAACTCGCGATCACGTCCTGGAACTGGCTCGCGTAGTTCATGTACAGGTAGTCATGATCCACGCCCAAGTCCTTGCTCACCTTTTTGATCTGTGCAACCATGTCCGCGGCAGTCTTGAGCACGAGCTCGTCGTCCTCGGCGTTGAGCCACGCAAACGACTGCAGGAGCACGAGAAAAGGGGCGTCAGAGACGGAGAGACCAAGGGCATTGCCGCCGTTTTTCTCCATGTTCTTGAGCTGTGGCTTGGTGACGACTTGGAGGGTGTGTGCGGGCAAGATACCCGGGACGTGTGCGAGCTTGTCGCCAACGTCAAAGGTGATGTCGGCGAGGCGGTCGACGATCTCACGGTCTTTGAGTTTCACAGACGCGGTCCAGTAGGATTGTCGCATACCCCTTGGACTGGATCCTGCCAGGGCCCAGGTCAAGTTAACCAGGCTGTTGATTTTGGTGTTGTCGACCATCGCAGGGACTTTGTTCCAAGTGTCAAAGACGGGTGCGTCTGTCTTTGCGTCTGTGTATTCGAGTTCGGCAACTGCAAGTCGCACGTTGTTCCTTGTATCGAGGACAAAGGACAGAAACTGTATAGCCTTGGGGTCGGCCTCGGCATTCTTGGCTAGGTCGACAAAGGCATCGATGGCGGCTGAGAAACTATCGTTGGTGAATATTCGGTCTCCACCATACATGAGGGGGCTGTGAGCAAAAGTCTCGAGATTGAATTGGGTCACGATGCCAACGTTGTTGCCACCACCGCGTAGTGCCCAGAAGAGATCGGAGTACTCGGAATCAGGCGTGGCAGTCACAATGCGTCCGTCTGCCAGGACGACTTGATACGACACAACGTTGTCGCATGCCCAGCCGCGCTGATTGGAAAAATAGGAAATGCCACCGCCTGTGACAAGGCCTCCAATACCAACGTCAGCGACACGACCACCCACGACTGCGAGGTTATGTTCAGCCAGGTTGCCGTAAATGTCGCTCCAGAGGGCTCCGGGTCCAATTGACACAATGTTTTTATCTTCAGACAGCGTAATGCCTGCCATGCGTTCAAAAAGCACAGTTATGCCTCCATCTGCGCTGGATGCACCTGCAAATTGGGCATGGCCTCCACTCCGAAATGCAAACCGGCACTTGTTCGCCTGCGACACACGCACCACATTTGCAACTTCTTGCGCCGTCTCTGGCCGGAATATGCAGCGTGGTACGGGCTCTCGCTGCTGCTGGGACCAGAAACCGTCAATCGCGGCTTTGTAGTCCGGGTCTTTGCTGCCCGCGACTTTGGCAGCGCCGAATTCTCCCAGGAGCGAAGCGCACTGGAAATTGGAGGAGAAGAATTAGTAACATGAACAAGTCACATGGTCATACTCAATATCCGGAAAAGATTTTAGGGTACATGAAAGAACAGCTTACTGCTACTTCGCAAGCGTCGGTGGAATTTGCTTGAATAGACTGCAACAACTTTGCTGCACCATCTCCTTCTACACCATCGGGAACTATGGCTTGGGAAATGTTTGAATTGGAAGGGTCAGGCTTGGTTTCTGCGAGCGTTGTGAGCGCAATGGCTGCAAAGACCGAGACGCTGGGAAGCCGCATGGTGGGTGCTTGTCTGCGTTGACGAGTAAGTACTACTACCGCAAACATGCTCGAGCAAAGGGTCAAGCCTACCTTGAACACGCGTATGTCCAATTGGATTTGAAACTGTGCGACGATGACTGCTACCAGTTACGTGGCCGGCACATGAATCTACAATTGCTGCGGGTACAATGGACGCTTTATACTTTCGCACCGGTGTTACCTGGTCTTAGAAGCATGCGGCTAGGCGCCGAGTGCATAACCCCAACTTCTTTAGGCCCTACATAGCCTGGCTTTGCAGAGGCCGGGTCTGAAGGCCCCGAGAGTCTGCTTGGGTTAATCCCTGGGGAAGATCCGTCAGCAGCTTTGTCTCGAAAGACGCCATGCAGCCGGGCGCGAGATATAGGCCCCCCAGCTTCGACTGGACCAGGTAGCCTAGTTTTGTAGAAGCCACGCATATGTCCCGAAAATCTATTTGGGCTGGTCTTCGAGGAAGTTCGGTCAACGGTTTATGCATAAAGAAGCGATGGACTCGCCTCCAATGAGTAACAATGGTCAAGATGTCTAAATGCACGCTTGTCCGCCGAGCTAGATTGCGTTATCGATATGACCATGCTGACAGGACCTTCGATGCAAGAAAACCCTGAGCCCTTGCGGTGCCTGCATTGACACGTGCCTATCAAAGTACACGTCACGTTTGATTGTTCGGTACTATAAGCGGTGAGGTGGACTGTGGGCCTTAGGTGATAGTCGGTGGATGCAGTTGGTAGAATGCGTCCGGAACAAGAGGGGAAGGTAAGGGGTGGGTGGTACTACCCCGCGTCACCCTTCACGTATCAGGGTCTAACTACGTGTCAGAGCTCTGTCTAGGCCGTTCCTATCCCATCTAAGGGCCTACAAGCGTGGTCCATTCAAGCCGGCGCTAGGATAAAGAGTAACGTAGTAGTTAAGTGATAAGGACGAGGCACCGGCCATGTAAGCGGTGTCGCAACACCCACACTCCCGCCGTAGAGGCAACGTAGTACATTACTATCCAGCGACATCCAAGCACAAGGGCACAAACATTCAAACCTTTTTGCCGAGAAAAACAACAACAATAACAGCAACGACGACAACGACAACGACGCACAGGCTAAAATACACACTATACAAAGGCAAAGACAACATGGTATACACTGATCATAACATTCGCAGGGTAGTCTAAGTGAACGCGGCAGGTGAAGGGGGTATCAAGAGCAAGGCCAAACAATAAAAGCAGACGGGGCGCCATACGAAACAGTACAAAATCATAAAGCAACACTAAAATACAACAAACGGGTAACGAAAATCAATGCTTCCGCCTCGAATCACTTCGGCTCAGCCCCGTGCGTGAAGCAAATCGAGGGGGATAGTCCTCCATGCCATCGTCATCGTCGTCGAATGCACTGACGTAGTCGGATGCACGTCGGACAGGACGGGTAGGGCCATGGATGATTGGATCACCACGCGGCTGCATACCGTGATGCTGGCGGCTGTCCGAAGAGCGAGCAGATGGAAGTGCGGGCTCCATGTTGCGCAGGTCCCATGGATCAGCTGCTGGCGAGTTTACAGAGCCAGGCGAAAAAGGGTTGTCTGGCGTGAGGGAGGGACGGCGAGCTGATGGTGGGCGACCGTAGTCTTGGTTGAAGGTCTTTGGAAAGGAGAGTGGGGGTGGCGCATGTGCTCTCGAGTTTGAGGGTCGAGTCGAGAAGTCCGTAGGCGGTTGAGCGCTGACGGTGGGCGGGTTGGGTTGCGAGATGCTCGGGCGGCGCTTGCTAGACGTCCTAGTAAGCCCGGAAGGACGCATTGCAGAGGCAACGCTATCACGACGCGGCTTGCTAGGGGCGTTGGCGTTTGACAGGGACCGGTCACCGGCCCGAGGGTCATAGTATGTTGATGAGTCTTGTTGCTGTCGAGCAGCTGCCCTTCTTTCTTCACGCTCGCGAGCTTCGGCCGCCTGTTTCTCAGTCTGCATGATGAGACTATCAGCTTCAACAAGGCGCTTCTGCTCAGCTTGCTCTTGGGGAGTCATCAACGAAGACATCCTTCGCGTGTTGGTCGGCCGTGTGGGATAATCGGTTGTCGGGGGCTTTGACCTTTCCTTCTTGCGTTCCTTTGCTCTCTTATCTTCAAGCTCCTTCTTTTCTTGTTCCAGACGCTCGAGCTTCTTGCGCTTGCGTTCTTCTTCTTTGAGGGCGGCGCGCTCCCTCTCCTTCTCGGCCTGGGCTCTTGCGGCGCGCTCCCTTTCGCGAGCCTCTTCTCTGAGTGCGGCGCGCTCCCTCTCCTTCTCAGCCTGTGCTCTCTCAGCTCGTTCTCGTTCGCGAGCCTCTTCTCTGAGTGCGGCGCGCTCCTTCTCCTTCTCAGCCTGTGCTCTCTCAGCCCTCTCCTTTTCACGAGCTTCGTAACGGCCAAGCTCGAAACGAACGTGCTTGTCGTTCTCCAAGTCTTCCTTCTTCTTCTGGTCAACGTCTTCCTGATAGCGAAGGTCCTCACTTGCTTTCTTTCGTCGTTGGCCACTGTTCTTGGTAGGCCGCGTGGTTTCAGCTATGCCGGAACTGGCACGAGAAGAGCCGGAATAATCGGCATACTGGTCGTAATCAAGCGGGTTGATGCTGGTGGATGTTTGAGCGACCTGGAGAGGATCCCTTGGTGCAATGCTCTTGGTCTTGTAGGGCCCGGAAGAGAAGCCATGCTGTGGCCGAGTAGGAGATGCAGGGGTGGGAGATGAGTTGTGGATGACAGTGGCAGACGGGCGAGTGTTTCGCCGACCGGTGGACCGATCAAAGTCTGGCTCGGACAGCACAGTCAGCGATGGTGTCTGGCTGGAAGAAGCAGAAGGCGTCTGTCGGTGGTAATATCCATGAGATGCAAGGGGCGTGGGAAGGAAGGTGTTGGGTTGGTCAAAGGCAGCCGGAGGGGGTAAAGGGGCATCTGGAAAGCCAGTCCGCACAGCATAGGAAGCCTCCGACTCTCCTGAGTCGATGGCAGCGTCATTGGATCCGGTGGAGCCGAAGGATTGTCGCTTGTGGCCTTTTGTTGAAATGGAGACTGACGGATACTTGCTTCCCTTTCCTTTCTTGGAGCCGATTTCGATGATGATCTCAGGGTTGAGGCGCTGCCCATCGCGAGTGGAAGGACGGCTGCCGCTGTTGGATGGGCGGCGACGCTGAGTGAAATAGGTACCAGAGCTTGTGGGTGTTGGTGGGTTTACCGGAGAAGGGGTGTCATCGCGTGAGGCGGAGCCTTTCTGGTGAGTGTAGACAACAGGAACTCTTCGTAGGTCGCGGCAGGTTCTCCCACTGCGCGCTTGGTCGCACAAGTAGGTGCAGTCACCTTCAATCCGACACATGGTGGCGACGGGAAGGGTAATACTACCAGGATAGGAGGGGGTGGCAAGTCCGGTTGGTGAGTGCGCGTCAAGTGTTGGATTGTGTTGCCAGGCCAAGGGACACTCTAGTTAACGACTAGAGGGAGTGCTTGACCAGGACAGACGCAGTTGGCACCTAGGCCAGAGGGCGGACTGGCGCAGGTACAATAAGGAGGACAGCTATGAGTCAAACAAGTAGGTTGGTCTTGGTATTTGGATGGTGGTGGGCGGCGAGTGTATTTAAAGGGCGCAGATGATGGCCGGGCTGAGACAAGCGCCGGACAGGATGAGTGCAGGCAGGCAGTCCAAGGAGGCGTAGGCCCGAAAGCGCAGGAGTCAGAGAAGCAGATGGGTAATAATAAATGCGAGAAAATCAGTGCAGATGAGACGAGTGGGTACCATGCAGCAGCTTGAGAGGAATTAAAGTGCCGGCCTGGTTGGCTTTAAGTGGAAGTGGTATTAGGCGGCTTTGATTGTAGCCTGAACAAGGGCAGTGTGAGTGGATGTGACATGGGATGAGCCTCAGCGACAAGTACCAGAGCCAGGCTGCAGCGACGGGCAGAATGGACGATTGCATGAACATGATCCGGGCGCCCTGGGGCCATTTTTTTTCTCGTCGCTGGTGCTGCGCAGCGGCGAGTTGCACAGCCTGCGAGCAGTCCTAGACTCGGCCCCCCATAGGTGTAGACCCTGGGCGCGACCGGTGTCGAGTGGTGTGCCGCGCGGTGTCGCGTGCCTGAGGGAGGCCGGCGAGAGTAGGAAGGAAAAAAAGTGGTGAAGACGGTCGAGCGCGCGAACCGGAGAGAGAGGGTGTGGCCGGGATGGCGGAGTTTGTTGCGGACTGGATGGGCATCAATGGCAAGCAGCAGCAGCAGCAGCAGCCTCTACCCCGGACGGGCGTACCGCTTTGGGCTCTACTTGATTGGATTCACCCTGGGGCAGAATTGCACTCGGAAGGTCGAGTGTCCATGGCAACATGCGGATGGCGCGCCGTCAGCTGCAAAATTGGCGGATGCAGGTGGAGGCTATGCAGTCATTCCCGTATCGCCGGCCAGGATGGGCACGACGCCAGGCACCAGAAGGCTGCCATTTGCTGCCGGTGGGCAATTTGCACTGGCCCAGTGGTGTTGATGACGCAGCTCGACGATTGCAGCACCCTCTTTGTCACGCCGCGCAGGCGAGTGGATGGTGATGGACGGCCATGGATGATGATGATGATGATGATGATGGCGGCAATGGTGTTGACGAGCGGTGGGCGTGTCAGTCAATGCTGGAGAGGCAAGTTGGCTGGCCATGTGAGAGGGAGTGACAAACAGGACGCGCTTTGGTCAGCCCGTCGTCGCGCTCGCCCTCGCGCTCGTGCTTGCGCGCACTGTGTGTTAGCAACATTGCAGCCATCCACACCCTTGGACACCCGACTTGCCTGCATCAGCATCACCACCCTGGCCGCGAGACCCTCCCGCTTCACCCTCTCTGATACGGCCGTCTCTCTAGCGCGCGAACCAAACCTGCTTGCAATCTACTGCGACACCGCTACTCCCGCTCCCACACACCAAATTTCCCATGGGCGGGCTTCCAATTTCAGTGCGCACCGCCACAGGGCTAAGCAGCCACAGCGGTAAGCAGCACCAGCCATCTGTCTGCACACCCACACCCTGACAAGATGCACGTATGCGCTCCAATCGATAATGCCAGATGACGACGGCACTGGCGATTGTCATTATGGCAATGCTCGACGCCGCGCTTGGACGGCTCGTCAGCATGTGGTGATGGAGACATGGTTTGCGCTTGTTTTTTTTTTGCCATGTGTGTGTGTGCCCCCCCTCCTGCATTCGGGACGCACCTCCCGCAGCCGGGGACGCACCTCCCCAAATGCGCACTTGCGCACTACCCCACATGACCACAACACCACAAAAAAATACTGGACATGCAAACACACTAACCCGCCGTCTTCTCCACCATGCTATCATCACATCCATCCCTCATCTCCGTCGTCCTCACCAGCCTCTCTCCAATTTTGCACACAACTCAGCCACAGCCTCTCTCCACAAACCAACCTGTAGCGCGTCTCAGGCGTGCCGTGCCGTGCCACTCGTCTTCCCGCATCTGCTGTACCCGTCACATTTGCTCCGCCCCGCGGCTGGCTGCCTAGATCAGAGTTCGCATCAAAGACGGACGCTCGTTTTTTCGTCCAAAAACCATGTAGTAGACAGCGGTGCCAAGGCCGCTCGCCTACAATACCCATACGGTTGGGCATCACCAACCCTCGTCGACGTCAAGGAAAACGGGCCATTTTGGCTGATGAACCAGTACTACCGCTGCAAGGTGCTAGTTTCAGCCTTTTGACACAATGCAACAAACGCACCTGCATCACTAACCTTGCACTCCCTCCCTGGCCTTCGGGAATGGTGTTCGCAGCGCTGCAGACGGTAAATGCGCCCCATTCAGCATCTCAACCCGCATCCGCACGGCAACGACTAGGAAATAGTCGCTCGAGGTGTGCTCAGTCGCCCAGATACCACAATGCGCACATGTCGCTACCCAACCAGTGCTTGGGCGCACGCCCTAGTCAAGCCCATTCTGCCGCCAGATGGCAGTCTACCCAGCATTCCCGTTCTCTTCCGTCCTCGTCTCGCCTCTTCCAACTTGTAAGCAAAGTCAGCTTCCCGACCAGATATGGGCCCAGCCACCAGTGACATTGACCCACGACCTGAGGCAGGAGCAACAAGCTTTGCAACAGGGGCACCATTGTAGCTGAAATGTTTTACTTGATCGAGGGATTGGTCCTTGTTTGCCCAAAGTCGGCGTCGCAACCTGTATTTCCACACTCGGTGTGCGTACTAATCGGTACGACTAGCATGCTTCCCAAACAGCCACCTTCACAGTCGTCCGAGACATGTGCATGGTTGCCTCGCGGAGCTTCCTCGGCCCAACAAGCCGCGTCTATAAAATGTCACTTGGTGTGGTAGATTTACCCCACAAGCGCTTCATGATTGGTCTCTTAGTATACGAACCTACCCTACCACCAGTTCACCTGTCTCTTGAACCAGCGACCGCCATAATACTGCCTCAGGTCAAGGCAAGCACACTTGTAGCCTTGTCACTACTGCTCACCATTCTCCACTGCAAGTGTCATTGCTCTTGGCCCCCCCCATCGGCCTCCGACCGTGGGCTGCATCCTTGCATCACGTTCTTGTTCAAAATGCCTTCAAACCAATAATGATGCCTAGCAAATGTCTTAGATTGTAGGCAACACACTGCATGCAAACACTACTCATGGCATGCATGGTTTGATTCTCCCAGTCGTGGTTGGTGGCTTGATTTTGATCTGACTGGTTGCATGCGGGTTGTAAAGGTCATGTGTTGGTCTTCTCAAGACACCCGGCAGGAAATATTGGCCATGGTTCACGTGCCACCCCAGACTATGCATGAGAAAGTGTGTGTGTGTGTGTATTCCCACTTGCTAGTAGATGCCGACATCAAAAAAAAATTCCAGGGAGCGGGGAACGAAAAGAATGGGGACAATGCACAGCCAGGCATGTACGAATTCCGGGCCGACAAGCGTTGGATGATAATGATAGCAAGAATGAAAGGAAAAAAGAAGAGATAAAGTCATGTCATGAATACAAGATAATGTTACAGGTGATGAGTCTTCAGCAAACCCCCCCAAAAAGAAGAGAGACTACAATTCACATGTATGCCCAAAAAGGGTGTCTTTTTTTTTCTAGTCGCTCCTCAGCGCATCTGCCACGCCCGGAAACCCCGGCGGGGGACTCGCCTTGCCCTGTGGTGTCATGCTCTCGAGAAACTGACTGAACCTTTGCGCCTCGCCACTCTGCTCATCCAGCTCTTTAATGCCGCTCTTGCCCATGCCTGCTCCCAGGCTCCGCAGCGGATCCTCGTCAACGTGGTCGCGCACCGGGGGGCGATCGTCGAGCTCGCCCCTCGCGACGGCAACCTCGGGCCCTATGGACCGCTTGAGCTTGATGTGAATTCGGCCGTCGTTGGTGACGCTGCCAAAGAGGGGTTGCACGGGAATTTTACGGCCACCAGGCGTGTCAATGTCGATTGTTTCGACGTCCTTTGCGCCCATGATGTTGGCGCGCGACGCCGACATGGTCTCTGCGCTCTTGAACTGGTCGTTTGCTACGAAGCCGCCGACGCCCAGGCGCGCATACGCTTCATTCTTGGTTCCTGTGCGCCGCGCCTGCACGACGCGCGCAGGCACCGGTGCGTGGCTGGCTTGCGGGCCGAGGATTGGGTGGTTGGCCATGTAGGATTTTGTGCGCAGGTAGCCGAGACCGGCACTGGGATGCGTCGAGAGCGGTGCCGTCTCTTGATCAAACGAGTATTGGTCAATATCGCGGCTCGATGCGTCCGACGCCCATGCCTTGGGCTTGAACTTGATGGCCGGCAGCCTCAGGAAGGGGAGGATGAGTTTGCTGACCAGCTTGCTTCCCAACGGATTGTTGGCCGTTTCTTTGCGGAGAGCCTTGATGCCAGTGTCAATGTCGTTGCGTGTAATATGACGCCAGGCCTTTTCTTGTCGCTCTTGCCATTCTTCGGCTTCCTTGATATCCATTGGTGGCTGTTCTTTCGACTTTGTAGCCGCCAGACGGCGCGACGTGTAGATTTCGTTCTTCACAAATTCAACCAGATAACCGTTGAATTCTTTCTTGCGAGAAGTGATTTCTTTCCTGAGATAGGCGACAAAGTCGTCGGCTCCCATACCTGGTAACCAAGGACCGTCATGCTTCCACCGCTTGGTGTTGTGTACGATGGGGTCTATAGGAGGTGGAGTAAAGGGAGTAAAGGGCGTGGATCCAGATTTTTCCGATCCCGCCAATTTTTGTCGAAGCGACGTTTTTGCCTTCTGCTGCTCTTGTTCAAATTCGGTGAATTCATCCAGCCAGGGCATAGAAGCCGGGGCTTTGGCAGCAACGAGAGAGGCCTTCTTCTGTTCCCATTTCTGCCGGAATTCGGCTTTAGCTGCACGAGTCTCCTCGGCCAGAGCCTTGGTTTCAGCTGCTCGCTCGGAGTCGGTGAGGCCGCGCGATTGCCACTCTGCCTCCTTTGCTGCTAACTTGGCACTCAGAGGCCCACGGAAGGCCTTGAGTTCTGCTTCGAATGCCTGTTTCAGTGAGGTTCGAGCCTGATTCCTTGCCTTTTTCGCTTCTTGCTGGAAAGCCTCAAAGCCGGTAAGTTCAGTGGCCCAGCCATGAGCCTTCCAGCGTGCCTGCTGCAGTCCCCACTTTTCTTCCCAGGTAGCATTGAAAGCTTCCCATTCAGCCTTTGCTCTCTCTGCGGGCATGCTCTTCTTGAGCGCCTTCAAATATAGACCAGCCTCATCCAATCCCATGTCAGTGTCGTAATTGGTAGTGTCATCGCGGACCTCAAAAGCTCCTGCAGGTGGTGCTACGCTTAAGTCGTGGTCACGCATCTGCGTCATGCCCTTCATCATAGGAATTCCCATCTCTTCCCACTTCTGCCTTGTCCGCACATGGTCGGCCGCCGAGTCAAAGTCGGTGACATGCTCAATGGTATCCAGCTGCGTCACTCTCAGGACCGGGTCACTGACTTGAACAAGGTGACTCCGTGAGGGAATTGCTCGCTTCAGACCCCAATCACCGCGTGCAAGGGAGGCTTTTGTGGTAGCAATGGCCTGGTGCGTCGGGTATGGTAGGGTTGCCGTATCCGAGGCCTTTGTGATGCCCGCGCCAAAGGACTCGCTAACAGGCGGGCGTGGGAGAGGGTTGGGCAGAGAGAAGAGTCGGGAATTGCGCAGCAGATGTGAAGTTGGCGAGAGGGACTGGCGACTTAGAGCCATATTGGCGATGCGACAGCCGCGGGTTGGCGTTCAATGGCGGCTGAAGTGGTGTCATTGGTGGTTGCGAGCAAATGTTGAGTTGGATTTGCGGCGATGCGGTCCGTGCGCACCTCCGCGGCTTCTGCTGGGTTTGTGTGCATTGTCGAATCAACAAGGGCTTCGCATTCACTGCTCGCACACATGAGTGCTATATGACGTGCTGTTTCTAACTATTGCTATTTGGCGATCTCCAGATGAAAACAATCTATCATGCTACTTGAATTCCTCCTCGATGAAGCCTTGTGCGACTTGTACTGCTAGCGTGGTCATGTTATGATTTTATCCAAGTGACAAGTCTGCCGTCACTACGCATCCTCTGAGATGTGGTGTGCTTCTGAGCAACATGCAGATTCACAATATCTACCGTTATGGGCAGTGATGGAACATAGGTCTGTGGTATGCTGTCTTGTGGGTCAATGGCTACAGGCAAAGATCAAGCACGCGGCTGTGGCACTGGCATTGAAGCCTAGTGCTAGTTTGTTTATGGCTGGGGGCGAGAAAAAAACACCAGGCGATTAGGTCGTTTAATCATCCTGGTAGGTGCTTTTCCCAGTCCTGTGGGTCATCTTCATCATCATCATCTTTATCCTTTCGGTTGATGCGCGGAACGTGGCCTTCAATGGCCATGGTGTGGTCAGATGTCTGCGTGGGAAGCGAGGGCGGTTGCGGGGGCGCATTGTTCAGAGGACGCTCGAGGATCTGGTCTTGGACGAGGTCGCTGTTCGCCTTGGTAGCCTGGCCTGGCTTTTCTCCTCGCTCGAGAGCCAGGTCAGCCATGGCATCTTCACGGGCGGCCCAGGCTGCATCCACATCTTCTTCTTCATCCTGGTCCTTGGTGGAGGTGACTGGCTGCTTCGGTCGCAGGGGCAGGGTAACACGATGCTCCTCTTCGTTTTCCACCATGAGTTCAATCTTGTCGCCGTACCCACCGTGCCGCAGCCAGGCGGGTTCCTCGCTCAGCTGGACTTTGACATAGAGGGCCCGGCGCGCGCAGTCGTCGGAGCACCACACCTCGAGCACCTTGCGGTCGACAATCTGCACGCCGTCCTCTGTGTCGACAAACTGCTTTTTGGCGGTTGAGCGGGCCTTGCTCTTGGGGCGGGGGCACAGGGCATAGCCGCACTTGTCGGCAATGTTGCGCTCCTCGATCAGGGCGTCGTAGTCGGCGGGCTGGAAGGGAATGATTGCCGTCTGGAAGAAGCGGGCGTCGGCGGGCGTGGGCCGCTTTGCATCGGCGTCTGGCGACGAGGGGAAATCCATCAGCGTCATGACGGCCTGCAGGACCTCTGCCTCGACGCGCTTGCGGTCCTCGAGCACGGAGGCATGGTGGCGGGCGACTGCGAGATGGCGCGGGTTGACTGCTTTGGCGGCGGGGCTGGTTGTGCGAGGGGCATTGGCAGCCACGGCCGGCGTCTTCTTGAGGATGGACTTGGGGGGCATGGCCAGTCCAGTCCAGTCGACTCGGTGGTGATGGCAAAAGGAGAGGAACAGCAGCCGTCGGCGCGGTGATGGTGCGTAGGATCGGCGGGTGCTAGTAGATACATCAGTCCAAGTGGAGCGTCGCAGCCAACTGCCAAGCTGGGCGTCGGGCAGCGCGCGGGGCTGTTTTGAGCTTCGTCACCACACTGTCCGTCTGTCCCCACGAGGCTCCTGCCGGCCGCCGCCCCCATCATTCCCCCCCTCGCTCTCGCTCTCGCCTCTCGCCTCACTACTGTATGGCTACCCACGCTGAATGGTACGCTGCCCTTGTTCTTCCGCGCCTCCCGCTGTCCTTCGCTGCCTGACACCCGCGCCATTGTAGCTACACCAAGACGACCCGCCCCGTGCACTCGCCCTAGACCTCCTCCTTCCTGCTTCTGCTGCTCCTCCTCCCAATCCAATCCTGCTGAAGCTCTTTTTTTCTTGCTTCCCCCCGTGGCAGGGTCCGCAGCTGTCACAGTAGCCTACCGAGCTCTCCTACAACTGCCCGAGCACTTCCATCTGCTGCTGCTGCTGCTCCACCACAGCTTGCCGCCATGTACAGGGTCAAGGCTGTGTACGACTACTCGTCTCCCCACGAGGACGACCTCGACTTCAAGGTCGGCCAGATCATCACCGTCACCGAGGAGGAGGGTGCCGACTGGTATGTCGGCGAGTACACAGACAATGGCGGCACCAAGCACGACGGCCTCTTCCCCCGCAACTTCGTCGAGCGCTACGAGCCAGAGCCGCCGCCACGCCCCAACCGGGCCTCACGTTACAAGCCATTGGAACCACCGGCTGCACAGGAAGCTCCCCGCACGCCCCAGCTGCCTCAGCAGGAGCCTGAGCCAGCCCAGCCCGAGGAGCCTGAGCCTGAGCCGCCCAAGCCCCAGCTGCCTCCGGTAGAGGTCCCCGCCATCGCTGTCGCCAAAAACACTCCTCTGCCAATGTCGCCCATGTCGCCTCCTTCTGCATCCAGTGCAAAAGCTCCAGAGCTTCCTCAATCGCAGCCTGAAACATCGAAGCCTGCTGCCCCCGCCAAAAAGGCCCCGCCGCCCGTTGCGGCAAAGTCCAATGCCTTCCGGGACCGCATTGCTGCCTTCAATGCTCCAGCTGCTGCCCCAATCCAGCCATTCAAACCCTCTGGCGGTGCACCCACCAACTTCGTTAAGAAGCCTTTTGTCGCTCCTCCGCCGAGTCGTAATGCATACGTTCCTCCTGCTCGCGAAGCCCCGCCAATCAAGACGTACCGCCGTGAAGAAGATCCAGAGATTGCAGAGCGCCAGGCACGGGACCGCGAAGATGCCGAGCGTGCTGGATTTGTTGGCCACAATGCTTCAAACTCAAATGAGGGCGAGGAAGAGCAACAGCCCAAGGTCAGCTTGAAGGAGAGGATTGCCCTTCTCCAGAAACAGCAGCAAGAACAGGCGGAAAGGGCTGCTGCAATGCTCAAGGAGAAGCCCAAGCGGCCACCGGTGGCAAAGAGAATCGAGCCTCAAGAGTCACAGGCTGATGATAGCGAGGACACTGGCTTGGAAAGGGTCGGAAGCGGAACCTCCAAACCTCGTGCCTCAGTAGACCAGGCTCGTCCTCGCACATCACAAGACGTCAAGTCGCCCGATGCACAGGCTCGCAATCGCGAGCTCGTCAGTGAGAATGACGCCGACCAATCAGGCGCTGGCGATACAGAGGATGCCGGAGCTGAGTCTACGAGCGTTGAAGACGATGAGGATCGACCGAAGAGCAGACACGCACCTCCACCAGCGCCCAGAGCTGCTGATGCGCCGGCGCAACAGCCCGATGTTGGCGACGAGCAAGACGCTGTCGAAGAAGATGAAGAGGAAGAGGAAGATGAGTTGGATGCTGAAACAAGACGCAAGTTGGAGCTACGCCAGCGTATGGCCAAGATGAGTGGTGGTATGGGCATGGCCGGTATGTTTGGCGGTGTGCCCATGGGAGCTCTTCCTCCAAAGCCCCCCAAACCTGCCAAAAAGAAGCCAATCACGGAAAAAAAGGCAGAGGAACCAGAGGGATACACTTCACCCCAGCAGCCGGTGCCCATGTTCCGCATCCCCCCATTGCCACAGGCCCAGAGTAAGGAACATGATGACCGCTCGCTTTCCGTAGAAAAGGAAGAGGAGGCTCCACAGACAGTTACGAGTTCTCATGCAGCAGATGAGGTACCTGACGTTGAAGAGGCCGTTTCCCAGCCCACACCCACAGGCGATCAACCCCCGCCTGTTCCATCAGACAGTAAGTTGTTGATTCCTCGCAAACCGATTTCAGCCTTCGTACATCCTAGCCAAGACTACCTTCAGCTGCCATTTCCCAAGACACTGTCAAAGACGTATGTTACTTGTGACGGTGTTTCGGAATATGTCATGACTGTATGCGTGTCTAGTATGTGTGTACATGAAGCTCTGTATCTATCCCAACCCTTCTACTGCAACTCTAACCCTCCGTAGAACGACCTGCTCCTCCCCCAGTTCCATCAGCATGTAAGTCAGACCACTACCAAATCTAGATTTGTTCTAACAACATGTAGCTCGTCCTATTCCACCACCACCACCGCCACCACAGGTCATGTCCCCAGGACCTGGCTCTGAGTCTGGTGACGAGTTGACAGATGCGGCGAACACGCCATCCGCTTCTGTCCAGTCCCCATCTTCAAAGCGTGTCTCCTACTTTGCAACTGGGGAGCAGCAGAACGATTCATCCGAGAGGCGTGCACCGCCACTTCCTCCAACAGGCCCTCCGCCCTCAACAACAAGCCGGCCACCGCCTCCGCCTCCGCCAACTTCAGCACCCCCCTCCCGCCATGGGGACCCCCTCCAAAGAAAGATAGATCGTACTGAAGGGGAGACGGATTATGAGGGCGACTATGATACAGACATGGCCCCTGAGGCAACGCACAAGGATGCTTTAAAATCACATACTAAAAGCCCGAGTCTCGAAGAGGATATCATATCAGACGAGCCTACGCCAGGACGATCGCCATTAATACCTCAGGGTATGCCACCTGTACCTCCTGTCAATCGTGCGGTGCCGCCCCCTCCTCCCCAACAGCCACCTCGATCGTCATTAGACGCTCCTCGTGCTCCTCTGCTACCACCTGGACCACCGCCGAACCGTAGCGCTCAACCAGTGGAGGAGGAGGATGAGTATGACCCCTTCAAGTACAACGGCCCCCCTTCACTCACTGCATCGCCTGCACCTAGGGGGGTTCCGCCGCCGCCTCCACCAAGCCAATCATTCCCTCCGCAGAATCGTCCTCCACCACCTATGCCGCCATCTGGTCCTCCTTCTATGCCTAATCAAACAGCTGAGTCTGAGGAAGAAGACGACCTGTACTCTTCACCCCCACCTCGAAGATCGCATGATCGGCCACCACCCCCACCACCCCATGCTCCACCGCACCAACATGCTCCTCCACCTCTTCCCCACCAACAAGCACCGCCTTTTCCGCCTCAAGAAAGAGCTGCACCGCCTCCGCCGCCTCCTCAGCCAAAGGAGTTTCAATCCCCACAGATGGCGCCTATGGACGCACAGCCTCGACCATTACCAAATCGGAAGTCGTTTGACGCGAGCCATATGATGGCTTCACGACAGTCTATGGATCAGCTTCGTTCGGGTTCCATGCAACATCAGGATTTTATCGCCGAAGAACTCGACCTTGGAGCTACTTCCCATTGGTGGACCCAACCTAACCTACTTCCTCCATCACTGCAGGGTCGCAAGGATGTCATGATAGATCGGAGAGAGTCGCAGGTTGGCAACACTGTGGAGAAGTTGATCAAGGTCCTCTACCTTGACTACTCACAAACAATCATCTCTGCTCGCTTCGAGGCCAACAACGTCTCTGATGTTCAACTTGAACAGCACAAGGAACCACCTCCTCCCCGTCTGCGTCCAGATCAGTTGGAGAATGCTTACGAGCAGTTTGGCCGACAGATTGCCAAGGCTATCGAATCCAAGCAGAACACGGTCGTTGGGAATGGTTCGCCTTATGTTCTTATTGAAGAATTGCTCAAGCCTTTTGGTGACGCCCTTCCACCCGTCTCGACCCGCTCATACGGTGCGCTAGTTTATGCCAACCTGGCCAATGCATCAACGTTATCTTTTGACGAGATACGCCCTGGTGACATTATCAGCTTCCGCAACGCTAAATTTCAAGGCAAGGTTGGACCCATGCATGGCAAATACAGCATGGATGTTGGTAAGCCTGATCACGTGGGTGTGGTGTTGGAATGGGATGGCAGCAAGAAAAAGGTGCGAGCGTGGGAACAAGGACGCGAGCACAAGAAAGTCAAGCCTGAGAGCTTCAGGATGGGTGATTTGAGGTCTGGCGAGGTACGAGTTTGGCGTGTCATGAGTAAGAGTTGGATCGGGTGGAACTAAGTACGACTGTAGCGTGAGTTGGTGTTAACTGCTTGATGGAATGTAATTAGTAGTCAACGGGTGCTTGAGAGCGCATCATGTGGTAGTCTTGAACAGCCTATTGCAATGGTTTTGAAAAGCTGATGTATTCCATGTTTCTATGCAGGTCCTGAGACCTTGCAGCTACAGCCGCAAGCCCTAAGTAGAAATTGTAAAGATATGTGCTTTCCGACACTAGAGCACGTGCATTTGAGATGTTGATGATGACTACATACATCTCTTCTACCGTTTTCTGCAGGAAACAGCAAACTTCCTTTGGCGAAGACGCAAAAAGCTTGCTTCGTATCAATCTCCAGGCCCAAGTTTTACAAGATTAACAACAGAAGCATCACACTACAATGTCATCAGCCGATGAGCCTGTACTAATCTGTATTCTCTAAACCTTACGGAAGGCAAAGGCATAGGAAACATGTTGCACAATGGAGTTTTTTTGGAGATTTCTCGGGGTTGCGGTAGCTCTACTGTACTTTCTTACGCTAATCAGCTGCAAGGGCGCCACGCGGATAAGACGATGACGCCCTTTGCATGCTTTTTAACCACACAAGGCAACTTCCTTTGACGTTCAGCACTGCTTCGTCAAATGCCTATGGCTCTAAGAATCGCTAATTTACGACGGGCGTAGTGCTGAATAATTGGCTCGGTAAAGCGATGGAGCGAGGTCCGGCGTTTGGATGCAGGTCTGAAGAGCGACGGCAGGGATCGTCGTGGGAAAAGGGCGTAAGTCCACCCAAAGTCCGGGAATAACGAGATACACCAAACGATATGTGATGCGGCTATAAGTGTCCTGGACGGCTCATCACCGCTTCCAAATATGTGCAGTTGAACCCCCTCACAACGTCCTTGCTTCCTTCCGTTGCGATGACTGATCGCACCACTACTACAGAGACTGCACCAGTGCCTTTGACACCGCCTGGTCCGCTACTTGATAACAAAGAAGTACCAATAGGAGATGGGAGTTCGGAAAACCAAAATGACGCCTCTCCAGACCCTGAGAAAGGACCGACCGACATGGCGCCCGCGACATCAGAAAAGAAAGACCAGTTCCTCGTCGAGTTTGATGGTCCCAATGATCCCGACAATCCTAAGAACTGGACTCCGAAACGAAGATGGGCAATAACGATTTCAATGGGTCTCATGGTGTTTACCGTCACATTTGCCAGTTCAATCTTCAGCGTAAATCTAGGCGTTGTACAGCAAAAGTTCAACGTCAAGATCGTCACTGCTACGCTAGGTGTAGCGCTTTTCGTTCTTGTGCGTCAAGAGAGTTCACCTGTACTGACCCGTAGCTGATATCATTGTACTAGGGATTTGTATTCGGGCCAATCGCTTTCGGACCCATGTCTGAAGTCCTTGGGCGCAAGACTCCGCTTATGTTTGGCTTTGCGCTCTTCGCCATCTTCCAGATTCCCGTCGCTCTAGCACAAAACATCACGACAGTATGCGTTGGCCGCTTCCTCGGGGGTTTCTTTGCTTCAGCACCGCTGGCAGTCGTGGGTGGGGCGCTCGCTGACTTATGGGATCCCATCCCACGCTCTTATGCTATTTGTGTTTTTGCCGCCGGCGGCTTTGCAGGACCCGTAGCAGGCCCCATAGCAGGAGGCTTCGTTGCTGAATCACATCTTGGTTGGAGATGGACATCTTGGATCACGCTTATCATGGCCGGCCTCTTTGGTTCCGTTGGCTTCTTGGTTATCCCTGAGACGTCAGCAGCCAGGATTTTACAGATACGTGCTGCACGACTACGCAAAGAAACAGGCAACGAACAATACCATGCTGCGGCGGACGCAAACAAGTTAACTCTCGATCGAGTTGTAAATGTTTACCTACTACGACCTTTTGTCATGTTCGCCCAAGAACCTATCTTGGCACTCGTAACAGCCTACATGAGTTTTCTCTACGGCATAGTCTATCTCCTTTTTGAAGCTGTGAGTCACTACACATGATACTCGGTCTCTTACATGAAACTTACATTCCACTCATAGTTCCCTGTATCCTTCTATGAAGAACGCGGCTGGTCCCTCGGCGTTTCCCAACTCCCCTTCGGCGCCTTCATTGTAGGAATTCTCATGGGCGCAGCCTGCATCGCTTACAGTTCGGCCACAAACTTCACTCGCGCATACCGCAAACACGCCAAAGTAATTCCCGAGGAGCGTCTCCCACCCATGATTATCGGAGCTATTGCTCTCCCCGCCGGTCTCTTCTGGTTCGCTTGGACGAGCAATCCCAACATCTCATGGGTGCCCCAAGTCCTTTCTGTCGCCTTACTTGGATTCGGCTGCATGGTCCCATTTTGGCAGGGCATGAGTTACCTTATCGATTGCTATGGGTTCTATTCCAACAGCGCTATTGCGGTCAACACATTCATCAGGTCGTTTGCTGGCGCTTTCTTCCCTCTCTTCACACATGCCATGTATCAGAACTTGGGCGTGCCCTGGGCGACCAGTCTCTTGGCTTTTATCTGTGTTGCGTTTATCCCTGTACCGATACTATTCTATGTTTACGGTGCGAGGATCAGAGCGAAGAGCAAGTGGGCACCGACGGCATAGTGGAACTGAGGTTTTGTTGTGCTTTGGCATGGGTGGCGTTGAATCATGGTAACGAATAAGCATCCTTGTTTTACGTGTCGCGTAGAAGCAAAAAAGATACCTCTTCCATAATACCAAATTCTAGACTGTACCTAGTAAGAGATGATACCTAGCACAAGCATGACTTTATTCAGTCCGCAATATCACGCTCTTTGTATTTCTTCATACTCACATCGTATATTATCAAAGTTGAACAAGCATCATGCTTTCTGATACGTTTCCAATGGTTTGTAAAGTGTTCGGGAGCTGTGGAGGCCAACACAGACCTTTGATTCTGAAGGCATTGGAACGTTGAGTTAGTCAAGTTGAAGCATTTTCCAACCATGCGATTGCCTCACTGCTAATCAACTCTCAAAGAACTCACCCTCTATATATCATTTCTTTCCTTTATCTTTTTAAATATCTTTAAGAACATTAATTCATTTACTAGAATATTACAGAGCGCCTACACGTAGAATAGACATAGAAATGGAAGTATTTCTTACAAGATTTGCAATAAATAATCGCATACATTGTGGCACGATACGTGATCGAGCTCAAAAGATCAGAGGGGCGACCCGCAATCGAGTAGATAGAATTGAGCTGAAAAGTAATCGCTGTGAAGGGATTAATGAAAAGGGTGCCTATCTACGTACGAAAGAATATCGCAATATATACTACGAGCTAGTCACGTGATACTACACCCCAATATATTACCCCGGGCACTCTTAACGTCATTTTCTAAAAGTGGTATTTGAGCGTGATGAAATTATCTTAGCGTCTTGCTGATTGAAAATCGAACAAGCTAGTTCTTCTCCTGGAAATAAACATGATTGCAGTATTAAAAAATCATAAATGGGAAATTGATCAAACACCCAAGTCGGTGAGATCCAAAGGATTTTTGGCAAGGCAGAATCAATAGCTAATCCATCTTCTCTTGTCTGCAATCTTGCCTTGACAACCGGTACTTCTTGGATGTATCTGACGCAAAAGCGAGACATCGCAAGCGCTGAACTGTCCCAGTAAAAGCGCCAGTCTCAATCTCCCCTGTCCGCTAGCGTACAACGGCTAGGAACATTGCTTTTAGTTTCCGTTTTAAATCATATTCTTGCATACATCGCTGCTGCAACTGCCATCAATTTGTAGAAGTATGACAAGTTCACGAATAAATCATAGTTCAGGTTTCGGGCATTTATTTACCATTGTCGTGGCCATTGGTCATGAGAAGATCTAGATTAATACCCTTTGTGATGAATTTTGTTGGGATTTTTGACTGATGAGGTGATGCTGAACTCTCGGTTGCACAGTTCTGCACTCCTTTGTAGGCTTTTCATATGAATTCCCTGACGGGTCTGCGAATCTTCTTCCTGATGCATTTCTGTGACGTTTCTTTGCTGAAAAGCTCGTCTAATCATGAAAAACATGGATAAGTAGGAGTCAACATAGAGGCAGTCTTATTTGCCGTTCACGAGGCAATGCGGCTGTGACGGCAGTCATGACTACTGACCATTTGTAGAAAACCAGGGGCAAAAAGTAGAGCAACTCTTTGTTCTCACACGAGTCGAACGCAACAGCCTCATTCTGTAAACAGTCATATACTAGAGCAAAAAGGTTCGGTCCGGGGATCCTACGTCCTTTCCTATCTTTTCGTCAGCCATGTTCTTATGAAAGAGCGCCGGTTTTTTAAACCTATATAGCAGACGGAAGTCCTTGGTCTCCGGTCTGAGGTAATGAGCGAGTGGCTTACAAGGCAACTGTGATGTACTAGAGATTGCAAACGGTAGGGCAGTGTCGCTTGGCTTCACTTGAGTATGCACCCTCAACTCTGCTATGGTGCCACGCTCTACCGTGTCCCCCAATGACTATCCTTAATGGAGAGAGCCTTCCCATGCTTTATACAAGCAACCAAATTTGCTGTTTGCTACCAGATGCTACGAACATCTTGGCGGAGTCATCCCCCCTCCCCATGGCTTGGACATGAAGCTTTCTATCCCAAAGGGATGCCTGCCGTCCACCAGTAACATTTGATGTAGACATGATGTAGGAGCAGATGCTTATCAATGTTAAGGCTTTGTAGCTCCTTTTTCTCAATCGCTGTATGCAGGTTGAGATATACTGCAACGCAGGCGAAGATGTGCAGCCTATTGCAAAGCGAACTCTCAAGTGTGCAACAGGACGCTCCCTACCCTGGTGATATGAAAAAAGTACGATCAGCGGATGGCCCCTCTCAACCTATACTCTCTAGTTTCTGGTGGAGTGCGGCTAAGAGGTGCTTGAGGGACATGTTTGCTTCTCCTCTCTTTACGCCTTGAGCAACAATTTTCTTTGTTATGCTTGGACAAGCGGACCCCTTGCTGGACTGCTGACAGGGAGGACGATGCTGCAATCATATCTAGAGTCATAATAAGAAGAATGACATCTTCTCTGACCTTTGCATCATGCGTGTTGTGATGCTGATGGCTGTTGATTGTAGCGCCAGTGCCCTGGCTTCACCTCTCAGTTCCGTCCGCGGCTCCGCCGCCATCCCACCAACATTTTCGAGGTGGTCAACTAACCAACACAACATCATACAGAAAGCTAACGAAGGTGCAAAACGCTTTGATGAGCTACCGGGGATCATTTCTTTCCCTTCGTAGTCATCATTGTAGGTGACGGCTATGATGAAGTCCCCCGCCCAACAGGTTTGACAACAAGCTATCTCTGTTCAACCGACATAACCTTCGCAGCGCCTTATCGAACCATTTAGCATGACATTTGGTAAGCGAAGTTGCCTGAGCAGAGAGCTCTTCGATCAGGTCTGTATCCGCGAGGGTGGATGGTAGAAACACCGTTCAGTGGCCCGACTCCGATGGACTGTCCGACAGTTGCCATCGCCAACTGAAAATCCCATCAAACTTCCAGAAGCTGACTGGAAATTCCGTAGTTTGACGACAGTGGCAGCTTCACGTCCTCAGAACATCGGCGCTCGTCGTGATCGCATGCCTTTTCTCCGCAAGAGCCCCGCCAACGCACTCAACTCCTATGGCTTCAAAGCAACCATACAAACGACAGAGATAGGAGGCAACAAAGGCGTCGGAACACTTTGAAAACCAATAAATGCACAACAGAAGGTTTGTAGCAGATGATCAGAATACCCACAGCCAACTCTAGCTAGGAGTGCACGACTGAAAACGTGTTCACACCCTCACGCGAACCTGCAGTGGCGGCAACCCAACCGAGGATTCCGAAAGTGTATGAAAATGCTGTGTGGATCTGGCCCTATCGGAGAATGCTGTTGTGATCCACAGATTTGACAAAGCTCACAAGATAAGCCAGGTGCAGACCCTCCCTTACATATCAGAGAAAGAAGGACTGACACAAATCGAGAGCAATCCCGACCGACCCTGTGAAACCAGAGCGGCATTTCATGCAACGTGGGAGACGGGTTCTAGTGCGAGTGCGGTGTGGTTGCCGCACACCACACGATTTCTTTCGAAATGCGAATGCCCAGCATGATGAGTCGCAACATTCACAGAACTTTCTCCACACAGAGCCCTACTCCTCAACCGTTTGATACCAGTTCTTTTTCGACAGAGGCCGTCTGCCAAATGAACAGCATGGAAGGCAAGATCCTTGGATAAGACCACAGAACGGCACGGGCGAAAGGTATGGAGGTGCGAGGCGACATAACGACCAGTCGCTGACGCGAGACGAGAACGCAGCCGATATGCTTACCATTGTCACACACGAGCCCTGCATTGTGTGCTGGCTCAGCATCAGCCGAGTCGCTTGCTTCCGACTGGACGCCACAGATGACAAAAAAACAGACAAAGAAGGACCCGTAGTGAGGCGGTTCTGGCCAGCCGGCATGCTCAAACATATGTTGTATGATTTCTGCGACAGAAGAGCCGAGGCGATGAGTGACTGCGTCTCCAATGTCATCTGAAGCAGTATGTCCAGGTAACACAGCATGGTAGGTGTATGGCTATTCTCAGCATGAGCTCAACCATGAGTCCACTCGTTCCCCTGCGACGACAGTCAGGGCTGACATGAAACGCAACCCTCGGTAAAGCTTACACGTATGGCCAGGTGTTCCCGCAACGAACCGCTAATACCGTTCACAGCTCGCGAGTGATGGCTTCCCTTTCGTATAGACAGATATCTGGTATGATAATAAGATATCTCCGTACGGCTGTGAGGCAGAGCTGTGGCATCCGGATTGGGAAAAGTCATTCTTCCACCATCATCGACAAAAACATGGTTGCTGCAGGAAGAGGTGAAGGCCAAACGTCGGCGAGGTGCGAGGATATATCAAGAGGTGGATGAACAATCCTGTCTTGGAAAAAGAAGGTGTTTGGAACCGAATGGCAAGGCCAAAGGTGGGATAATGGGGTATGCAATCTCCATCTGGTGTGGCAAGCATCCCTGGCGCCCTCTAGACATATTGACAAGATCCTGGCATCAGCGGCTGCATCTATATGCTGGAAGATTTGTAGAACAAGCCACTAACCCGGTGCCATGCAGGTTGTGAGGTTCAGTCTCCTATTCTAAGGTTCTGAGAATAGCCTTGGTGTCGACTTGTCGTCAAGAACAGCATACTCGATTGCAGCAGGCCTCCTTTCCTAAATCGCTATTTCACTGGCGTTGTGCAAGTTCCCTCTACTTAAGCTTGCCTTTTTCTAAAACTGGGAACAAAAGCCCAAGGTTGATTCCTATGTCGCCAGTAACCATGGAGTCGTCAAAATCGGGATAGTCATTCCTGAGCGCTGTCATCTCAAACAGCCACAAAGCCACAAACCCTTACTAGAGACATCCATATGTCCTATTGGATTCCAACATTCTTTTTTTCATGCTTTTTCATTCCCATATCTATGGCCAATCACGACAACATGCCACCCGATAGGAGCAGTGGACTTCAAGGCCATTCCGGTAGAGCAGTCGTTCAGGCAATTTAATGCAGCAGTGCAATTCCTAGGTTAGCTACTGGATAAGATCCCCCAAAAATCTAGTCAAGAGCGATGAAGTGGACGAAGGTGATTTTGAAGACTCAAACACTGGTTAACCAATCCAAGGATCAACCTTCCATGGCCCATTGAGCCTTGCTCACCCAAGGATGTTCAGTGACAGTATCCATGCCACAAGGCGCTCTCGGCATATGCCTTGACTCAGATCTCATAGACTGGAGCACCTAATAGCTTCTTTTGTGCGAAGTATTTCTATACTTGACAACCAAATCGAACAATGGTTGCCTGCAATTGGGATTGAGCGTTCTTCTTTCGCAATGGCGAACCATGGAGCAGAGCCAGGTAACAAGGAAATGGGAAGGAGATCGGGCCGTCACGGCGAATAACCGCTTTTTCGCTCCTGATATTCCATCCGATCCTCAGTGGTGTACATCAAAGAGGTAGGAGAAGTACATCCGTTCCCAAAGTCGTCACTCCGCGGGATGACTATGCTATTCGGGGATGGTAGATGGGTGGCGAACTGCGTATCACTTTGTCACTGTCAGCAACAGAGAACATCTAGAAGCAAGACATGAAGCGATACAGTCTATCGAAATCCCGCTTTACCAGCTTTGGGCTTTGGAAATTGGCCGGCGTGCCCCCCGGCATACAGATTCTTGTAATGTTGTGGTGATGTGTACCTGCCCGATGTGCATGTGTCTTCCTGCAGCCGCCTGTCATCCCGATATTGAGAGGACATGACACCGCTACCATCGCATCCACGTATATATGCCCTTGTCCGCTATTCAGGGTGATAGGAAGAACATCTCGGGACACGGCCCGCAGATGGCTAAGATTGAGCGTTGCGAGGAAATGAGACAGCATACTGACGGATTGTGTCAAGTTTGTAAGACAGGCTGCTCCTGTAGTGATGGTGAGAGACACGGAAAGCCATAGTTAACCACAATGCTGACCTTCTTATAGATAAGTCAGATTACAGTGACCAAAGAAGAAGTCCTTTGGCAAACAGCTAGGTGAGTTCATCAAGTGCCCGATGACACCTAGATGCGAAGGATCGTGACGATCTGTCTACCAAGCATTCTCAAAGGGCTAGCAGCCGATGTCATGTTCCGGTTATTCTCTGATCCTGTGGACAGGGTATGTTGTTATCCGGATATGCTAACCACTGTGCAGACAGCCCTTAGTGTGGTGGGGGTTCGCGGGTGTCCGCTAATGCGAGATCATCAAGCCGCGTCAAGGCCTGCCTACAGTTTGATTTCCAGATGTAGGAAAGCTATCTAAGACTGATCCAATAGATGAAGAACATGGGTGGCTTTTTGTGGTGTCTCTGGTGATCGCTGAGGGGAGAGTTTCTGTTGTTGACTCGGTGTCTTCGGCGCAGCTCTCGGTCCCTTTCCTTGTCAACGGCGTGCATTAGCCTGAGGCGGATTCGTCTTCTGAAGGACGACAGCTACTCCAACGAGAGAAGCAAAAGACTTTGTCTATTGCCAGTGTCGCTGGAGTAGGTGAGCTGAGGGGGGGATGATTATGAGGGGCAAGCAAGAATGCAAGCAACCAACTTCACGCCGGTCCGTGCGCCAGATTCCCATCAAGCAGCTCAACGACACGACCAAGCATTCGATGGTCGCTGCTTTATTCAAGGAACTGCATGTTTTGTATACAAATGAAGTGTCCGGGCTCGACAGCTCAAGTATGGAGAGAAAGACATCATCTTGGGACTGTGGCTGGGGTAACCTTTGCGCGACGATCAAGGACCAGCGTTGACAGTATCAGTAGTGTGGCAGACTCACAAGAAAACGTCAAACACGCCTTTGTACTCGGAAGCATTCTTGATTCCTCTCAGGCGGAGCCTGGCCCCGGTGCAATTGTATGCATGCAGCTATCCGGGACGGCGCGAGACGCGTTGCCGCAATTGGCTCTGATAGTAGCATGCGCGACACCAACTGCGGGGACAGGATGCGACAGCTTCCTCGAAGAAAACGCATGAGCCAAAGAACCGATTCTCTCAGGTTTGCAGGAGAGAGGATCAAATTAAGGGAAAAGATGGTTGCGGACGCAATATTACAGATTCACGGACGCGATGTCAACAAAGAAAGTCTTTGTTCTTCCTACTTATTACTGTTACACTCAGTCCTGCTACGAACCGGAAATTGCTAAACCCTCTTTCTACACCCCCCGACACACACATTCGTTGCATCTTTCCTCATATGGCCTTTGAATTTCTTCGTACGGTTTCTGTCCAATCAATTTGGCGTGAGATTTCAGGAGGAAGCATAATCTCAACAGTTCCTCTTACTAATCCTAGACATAAGTAGCCGCTACACAGTTCATGGGCTGCTGAAACAAAAGAGTTCGACGAACAAACAATGCAGATTGACAGTTCAAGAGTCAAGAGCGCAGATGAGCTACAAAGCTTTCTAGCTGGAATATGCACAGTACTCATTCTACATGAAACATATCAAAACCGCCAATTTCTCATAGGAAATGATACGATGCGAGCACTCTATGGTTCCGCGTCCCTGCCCGAGATGACACCAGTCAGCTGAATAGCATCATCCACCAAGTTGTTGAGCTGATCAAACTCTCCTTGTAGCCACCTATCCAGCACAATTTGGTCTTGGTTAACGAATGATTTGCGCTCGGCAGGCAGGACACCTGTACATTCCTTGAGATCATTGATGTTGTTGACACCGAGCAATGACAGACGCGTGTAAGCTTTAGCATAGTCCTAATCATTTTGTCAATTTGGATCCTCGAACAGAATGATTGGAAACACTTACCGCATTCCACCTTCCTTGTGCAGTAGCCCTGTCACTGAACTGCGCCCAGGATGTGCTTGTTCTCGAGTCCTTGCTGAGGTTAATATCGCTTTGGAACTTGAGGACACGAGGCGGTGCGTTGTTGGTGGTCTGAGGGTAGAAGGCCATATCCCATATACCGGGTGTCGAGTCTTGCGGGTCGCCGTCCCGAGTAGTGTCGACAAAGTGCTGTTGCGACGTGGTGTGCGCGCCTACCAGGGCTACAAGGTCATGGGCGTCGATGGTCTTGTCTTGAAACAATTTTATGAGCTTATCTGCCGAGTCCTTCTCCCCAGGCAAAAGTCCAGTGGGGCCCGCTTTGCTGTTGTCTTTGCGGCCAACGAAGGTGCGGAGACGGGGGCCGAGCGGGCAAACGACAGTCGCGACATTGGCGCCGAACTGGATGATGTCTGCCATGCTCATTCCATACTGGTTGTATTTAGTGTACCACTTCTTCGTCTGGTCGGCGATGGCTGCAAGACCATTGTTGTCTGCTCTCGTCATTTCATCACTAAGAAGAATGCTGCCGTCTGCACCACCGTAGCCGCTGCTCTTCGACCAGACACCTGCATCGTGGAAGCCCAGACGCACAGCTTGACGGGCGAATTTATTGCAACGACCGGAGGTACCGTTGAACATGGCTGTCATCTCATATGCGAGCCACTTCCAGTGGCAACACAAATCAGCTTTGCACGCTGCACTTCCGATGTTGCCAACTGGAATCGACGTGTCCATGACGGCAGACTCGGCAGACTTTTGGTCCAAGATAATGGCTTTGATGTCTTTGCCGATAGCTGTAAGCTTAGAATCTGCGAGGGTCTTGAGATCGCCAATGAGCTCTTTAGAGGTCTGTCGCTTCTCACGAGCGGCTAGGTAGCGCATTTCGGCCATGGTGTCGCCCATGCCGGGGTGAGCTTCAGCCAGGGGGATGTATGCCAGAAGGACATAACTGAGGTAGGATAGAGCCTTCATTGTAGTTTATGGTATTGAAACGAACGGACAAAAGACGATGGCTACTCTGGATCGATACAGTGCTGTGATTACAGCAGCTTTTATATCAACGTCTTTTGCCATGCCAGGTTACAAGTTCAAAAGCAAAGCCAGCCTATACATTCCAGAGTTGAAGATGATTTGCTAGACAGCTTAGATTGTAATTCAACTATCAAAGCCACCATGAGCTCTAGACACTAGGAATAGATGAATACGAAGACCCTCGGCTTTGGACCTGGCCTGATGAATGCCGTAGGCCCCTCGTGGCGTTGATCTATCGATTTTGCCGCACTTTAGTTGCATGGTGTTCGACCACATGGTCAAGGAAGAAACATACTTTCCAGTCGCATGGTAGCTCGCAGCGGAGCGGGATATGCAGCCTAAATCATTGGCCAGATGGGCAAAGGGGAAGGTAACTTGTGCCTGGATGGCGGATCCTCAGATACGGGAGGCGAAACTAGTCGCGGAAACCTGCTGTGATACGTGACTTATATTACACGTGTTTTTTTTGAGTCTGGTGTGTCATACAAATTTCTAGCGTAGTCTGAGGGATTGTTACATGGAGAACTTGATTTGCTCCCCTTCTCGTCAGCTTTCCCATGCAATAGGTAATTGAATTTGTGACACGCTCCATGCCAGCACACACAACAAACAGATGTCCTCGAATTGACTGTGTGGAATTGACTTGTATCCTAGTGTAAACACAAGTCACCTTGCAAACATTGTCCCGACGGTCAAAAGGGCCGGTACGGCCTTTCAAGCAGATGCAGTGATATATTGAACGAGTACCTGGAACTCATACTTGGCGTGCATACAGCAAGACTATTCTTAGCCACTACTGGTTGAGTGGTTCCAGGTCCAAGGTTGCTAGATCGCGCGGGTGCAATCTCGACCCGTCTATGGTGAGACGCTAGATACATTAGGACTTCAGCCTCACCATGGAAGTAACTTTGGAGTCTTGCCAAACCCTCTCTAAAAGTATAGATGATATTGGTGATAGGTTAGAGACAGTTGATCTGAGTAAATCAACCGAGGACGCCAAACGTGGAAATGTTCATAGGATCAACGATTGATGTCATTGCGAGGGTACTTGGAGCCAGCCGGTAAGCTGCATAGCAGGGGATGTACAAAGACAGCATACCTACATTTAACCGGATAACGTACGTTCAGCTCTTGACTCCCAAGCCAATATCGCGGAACCATAGGAATGTTCCGCGTCTTGTGTCTGCCCCTGATACGCTCGGCTTTTCGAAAGGCGGCTACTTTGTGTTCCCGGGACCGAGGCAGAAGGGAATACTCAGCCAAAGCGAAGAGTACATATCACGTGACTCGTGCTTTCGAAGGGGAGTTTGGTACGCCCAATTTGTTGATATGGATTGCAGTATGTTTGTGATACAAGGTTTTTTTGACGCGCAAAGTGAATCAGCTAGGTGGAAACCAAGAGAAAAGACAGGATATCACCTGAGTGTATAACCCTATGCCAGAAAAAAACAAAGAATCATCACCAAGGCTTGTCGAATTCAGATTCGCTAGCTACCCATGACTGAACGGGCAGGCTTGATACTTGTGTGACGGAAAGCTTTGCTTAGCGGGCGGGACGAGAGTCAGGCAATCAGAAATGCCAACACGACAGGACCGTTGCGAATGGGTTGGCAACGACATGCATGACTGTTGGCGTAGCAAGTAGAACTAACAAGCAAGGTGAGCGGAGATGGTGGGGCTGACAAAGGCCGCCACCTCAACTCAGCTTAGGTGGATTCTAATTCAGTCGCTTGCGGGATCCTTTTTCTCCCACAGCCACCGCCTCGCAACACTGACAACGCAACATAAGAGGAGCTATGCGTCTAATTTCGGACGCAACAAGGTTGACAGCGATGGATGTCATTGTATAGTGTGGACCTCTGCATCGTTATGTGCGAGAAGATGCGGTAGGCTTCGATGCTGCATTGTCAGCTTTCTAAGGCTCAGCCTTTCTCAGCTGCTGCGCATCAGACGGAGCTACGCGATCCTGTTCGTTTGTGCGCGGTAGACTAGTATAATTCCCGCTTTCTTCAGCTCTTCTTTTTCTTCTTGTTTGGCTCATATCCATACACATCTTTCCGCGGTCCCCATCGCAGTTGCGATCGTCTCACCTTATTGGCTGGCCCTTGATTACCCAACAATCTGCAACAAGATTGAGATGCAAATTTCCAAGATGCGGCGGCTGTCAGGCCTCTTCTCTGGACCCAAGACTTCATTCCAAGTTCTCTCGGATCTCCACCTGGACCACGAGTCACAGTATCTCACCTTTCACATACCGGTAGCAGCGCCGTATTTAGTTCTCGCCGGAAACATTGGCCGACTGATTGACTATGAACAATATCTCGCCTTTCTCATACGGCGATGTAACCTTTATGAGAAAGTCTACCTAGTTCTTGGAGCACTCGAATTCCATGGTGTTGGATGGATGGAAGGACTACAATTAGCGCACCGGCTAGAAAAAGAGCCAGCAACACAAGGCAGACTGGAGATACTCTACGAGACGAGAAGTGATATACCGGGAACGAATATTACACTATTAGGATGCACCCTGTGGAGTCAGATACCGAAGTCGGACGCAAGCGCTGCTTTGCGCAAAATGCCTGAGTTTGATGAGGTAGACGGGATTCAGGACTGGAGCGTGGAGAAGCACAACGCGGAGCATGAGCGAGACCTCCAGTGGTTAGTCGACGAACTAAAGAATCCAAGCGCAGGCGAGAGCAGCTTAGCCCCTGGTACTTCTGCATCCAGACATCAACGGCAGCTTATCGTCGTCACAGCGTTTGCAGCAGATCTTCGTGGATGCCTAGAGCCATGGCAAGTCGACGCTCCATGGGCCTCCTCGTACGGAACAAACCTTCTGGACAACCCGTCATTCAGTGCTGTCAAGATGTGGATTTCAGGAGCGACAGGTCGAACATGCGAGTTCAAGAAAGGGCAGACGATAGTTGTTAGCAACCAGCGTGGAAGAGTGGGCGAGCACGTTACTGGCGCGTTGAAAGATGGCCTGTCAGAAAAGCAGAAAGTCGGCTTGTTCGACGTCATGCGGATTGTGAAGATGTAGCAATGCATGCTGAGCTTGCCAAATCCTAACCTAAAATGGCTGATCCCATATCTTTTTTGTCTTTGTGCAGGAATGCGAGGTACGAGACGTCAGTTTGCCAGCCCCGCAATGCTGACCAATATCTTCCAACCTCATGACGATGCCCCGTATTTAAGAAAATACGATCATGCATGATTACGATCATTTACAGTTTTACAGTTTTCGACACCGCGGCTGGCTACTCCATCTCCCACTTTGTTCAACTCCACAGCTCCAAGCATCTTAACCGCCGAAATGACCGACGATACAATCACCTTGACAGCATCTTGTCTTTGCAAGGCGCACGTTCATACCACCACTATTCCCAAGTCCAGTCTCCCTCTGAAAGCGCACATCTGCCACTGTGACACTTGTCGTCATGTATCGGGCTCTCTGTACAGCTCGCTAGCGTTTTGGCCCTCGCCACGCTCTACAGTTGACCTCTCAGGCTACAAACTCTTCAACTTCAGCCCAGCATTCGACCTTTTGTTCTGCGCAACATGTTCTACCCCCATGATTGGCGCTTTCAAAGATGAGACGAAGCCGTTGCTCATGGCGACGGGCGCACTAAACAACGTTGCATGCGACATGGAAGTGGTGAAATGGTCGCACATGGGATTCATAGGCGATACAAGAGATGGGGGCGCAAGTATATGGATGAAGTATATCAATGCTTCCGGTCCACCTTTAAAGTGTTTCAAGACACAAACCAGAGGCGACGGTGCGGAAGAACTTGCAGACGATTGGCAATTGCAGTTGGAATCACCAGACAAATTTACAGAGCGACAAGACGCCATACCCATCCGATGTAAATGCCGAGGCGTAGACCTCGTTCTGAACCGCGGCAACTACGATCATGTCGCCCCTGAGAACTTGCCCTGGAACGTAGATCCAACTAGTAGAAAGCTAAAGGCCGAGCTCTGTGGCTGCGATAGCTGTCGGTTGCATACTGGGAATGACGTCTTCTATTGGACATTTGTTGATCTGCAGCACATCTCTTTCCCCGTCTCTGCGGACGAGAACGAGTTTCCATCAAACACACAAGACTTGGCTGCTTTGGTCGATAGCAAGGATGCACGAATTGGCCCTCTGGTCTACTACGAATCGTCGCCTGGCGTACATCGATATTTTTGTAGTACGTGCTCTACGACCATTTTCTACACTGTGAGCACGCGACCGCGCTTCATTGATGTGGCTGTGGGTACTCTCGAGGCAAAGGACGGAGCGAGGGCAGATAGTATATTGGCATGGCAGTTTGACTACGGCGTTGGTCATAAGGAAGATGGAGCTGGAGGATGGCGGGAGGGTTTGTTTGAGAAGATAGAGAAGTCGCTGAAGGAGTATGGCCGCACGAGATCATCTTCTGGTTGACTAAGTCGGAAAGACATTTGAAACAGGTCACATGTAGCGGTTACTTGGAGCAAACAGACCATAGACATTATATTACAGACCCTAACTTATAGTTGGTCGAATGTTTCCCATTCACCATCACTGGAGTCTCACCTCATTCCGTCTTCACCACGCAAACCAACTCTACCATTGCTGCGACTTTTGTGATATGCAATTCTTCTCTCACCCATCCCTCCCTTGCCAACTTCCCAATCCTAATTCCACGTCGTCAAGATTCTCAACACCACAAAAATCATGTCGGAACCGACTCGCACCGTGGCGCGACCGCCAGGCGCCTTGTTTCGTGTGGTGAAGACTCTTTCAAAAAGCTCTTCTAACACAGGGGTATATCTATGTCTTCCGCGCATTCTACCTTCTTCCTCTGAACCCACAATGGACATTGATGAAGATCTTTCGACCCGATGCGCACCAATCTTAGCAGCGTTTGGGAAGATGACTGGGAACACACGCCTACAGCAGCAACTTGGTCTGCTCGAGTATGAGAGGCTGGGAGACGTTTTATACCAAAATATGCAGGAATACCGGACATCGTTACTGCCTCAAGGGCAGATCAAAATGCTGCCGCAGCTCGCAGTGGTCAAGATGTCTACGGAAAAAGAGAAGGTGCGAAGAGAAGTCAAGGTGATAGAAGAGATTCATAGTATGGCCGGCGAAGTGGCTACGCTGCATATAGGGTCATATGTATTGGGGTCTCAGCATACAGAGGCGCCAGAGACGTCGTACATGGTTTTGCGCCCTATCTTTGGGCCCACGCTCGAGCAATTCAGTGAAAAGAGCAGCAGTGGTAGGAGCGGGGGCATTCCAGAATGGCTGATGGCGCATATATGTGTCGGTCTGATCGAGGCGGTTGAGTTCCTGCATGAGCATGGTCTGGTGCATGGCAGGATCGAGGCGTCCAATGTCATGTTGAGCTTGTACCCTGTGTACATGCATCATCGGTATCGTGGGTACCCGGATGTGCAACTGATTGATTTTTCAGATTGTGCATCAGCGGCGGCAATAGTTACGGCGCTGGATGTGAGAGGCGTGCTGACGGTCATGGAAGAAACTATGGTCAAGCAGAACAATGCAGCTCCGTCTGGGCGTTCCAAACGGGATGTTCGTGGTCGGACTCGAGAGAAACAGGTCGAGCAAAACATACTTCTAGCTAAGATCAGAGACATGACTGCTGCTGATTATGAAGGAGACATGAACATGCAGGGCTTACGAAAGTCACTGGTGGGCATAGCGGAAGACATGCGACACATTGGGCCCGAAACGATGCCGAGAGACATTATGAGGTTGATCCATGCAGATTTGACGACAGATGGAGAACTCAAGTGCGCAGTGCGGAACCCCTTAGTTCTCAAAATGAGGAGTAAGAAGCAAGCGACAAAGGCCATTGGGGACGATGAGCCGGTTGATGTGGTTGGCGTAGAAAATGTGGAGACGAAGTCGGGGAATTAGACGCTTGCGAAAAAAAGCAAAGGGACAATCAAAATCAAGGGGAAGGGAACGGATTAAGAAAAGATCAATTTATAGAGGCCATGGACACAGAGGGCCTCATATGTTCAATTCGTGTATTCCAAGCGAATGGAAAAAAAAAGGCTATAGCCATTCCTGAGGCACAGCTCTTTCTGACCATGTTCTTTCGCTTTCCCATGCCAGCCAATCTGACCGCGTCGTAGGTAACAGACCCATTGCGTTGACCTTCCAGATTCCAAGAGCTAACATGAGCAAGTTGCAGGCAATGTAGACGAGTTTGACTCCGAGCAGGCGGCCGGCGGTGCCGGGGGTTTGGTATGGGGCAAAGGTGCGTTGGAGGCCAAGGACAGCGAGGACGGGCGTCTTGAAGAGGGTAAAGACCATAAAGACGGAGAAGATTTGGAGTGTGTTTCCGGTCATGTACATGCCTGGTTGGCTAGTTAGTCGAGGTGGAAGTATAGTGGAAGGCGGGAAGAAGTACCAAAGGCATTCATGGGCAGCTGCTTAGCGGGGGCAATGGCAACCTCCCAGGCTTTTTTCATCTTGAGCGTGTCCATCTCGTCTGCGGTTGGGGGTACGCGCTGGTTCTTGGAGGCCTGGGAACGCTCCTTCTTGGTCAGCGAGGCCGTATAACCAGGTGGGTCGATGAGAGCGGCATTCTTGGGCTTGGATGCGGGCGTCGAGTTGAGGTCGATGACCCATTGGGGGGGCGGAGGCGGGGCTGCAGCCATTTGTGCTCGAGGATTCGATGGTGGATATGGGCGTAGATGCGTGCCTGGCTGTGGCTGTGGCTTCAAGACGCGGGTGGTGGCGGTGGTGGTGATGGTGTTGCGGCTGCGGTGTTGCGGAGCGCGCCGTAGGTGGAGACGAAGTGCGGGAGTGCTTGGCAGGGATGCACGTCCCCTCCTCCGTGTTGACCGCCGCCGGGCGTGTCTCTATCCATAAAAGTCACCACTCGTCCGAACCCCCGTCCCCCAATCCCCCGGACGCCCGCTCCAATCCCTCTGCCACCCTCGCTACGACATGCGCCACGCCATCCACGTCCGACACACGAGCGAATAAGCTACTCTCCCAAGACCCCGCACCACCACCACCCGCATCCGCCAACAGCGAGGGGCGCCAGCTGGGCGAGGGTCCATTTGTTGATTGCGCGACGGCCAGGCAGATATCAGGACAACGAGCCCACCATGAGCCAGGGCGGCCAGGATGCGAAGCTCTTCGCGAGGGTACGTCTGCTGTCCATCCCTCCACCATGTTTCTCCCCTACGCTCTCGATAGCCCACGCTTACACCCATCGCCCACTCCACAGGGCAAGGTCGCCGAACTCCGCCTCGAGCTCAACAGCGGCGGCAAGAAGGACAAGAATTTCTCGGCAAAGAAGACGGCCCTCAAGAAGATTGTCGCAAACATGACAATGAGCAACAACGACATGGTCGCCCTCTTCCCAGACATTGTTGGCTGCATGCACATACCCAGCTTGGAAATCAAGAAGATGCGCGTAACCATCTGATTCTGCTGCATGTGCCCTGCTGACGAAAACGCAGGTGCTTTTTGTATTTGGTCAATTATGCCAGGATAAAACCTGACATTGCCCTCAAGGCACTGCCCATCATACAGGAGGACATGAACGACAGTAATCCCCTCGTGCGCGCCCTTGCCCTACGCACAATGTCCTACGTCCATGTCCGCGAATTTGTCGAAGCCACTGTTCCCCACCTCAAGAACCTTCTCAAAGACGCCGACCCTTATGTGCGAAAAACCGCCGCCTTTTGCGTCGCTAAACTCTACGACCACGACCGACATCTGGTCGAGCAGTCGGACCTCATCGATAGGCTCAATGGCATGCTGAGAGACGAGAACCCCACCGTAGTGTCCAGTGCACTCGCCAGCCTCATGGACATTTGGGAACGAAGCGAGAATATCAAGCTCACCATCGACTATGCCAGCGCCTCCAAGATTGTCTCCATCTTGCCAGACTGCTCTGAATGGGGCCAGACATATATCCTCGAAGCCATGATGAACTATGTTCCTCAAGACAATAGCGAAGCCGCTATCCTCGCCGAACGTATTTCTCCTCGCCTTTCGCATTCGAATTCCGCCGTCGTCCTTACCTGCATCCGCGTTATCCTTTACCTAATGAACTATATATCCGACCAAAAGGTCATCACTTCTTTGTGTAACAAGCTTTCCCCACCTCTCGTCACCCTTCTTTCTAAGGGTCCCGAGATTCAGTACCTGGCCCTTCGCAATGCACTTCTTATTCTACAACGCCGACCAGAGGTTTTGCGCAACGATATCCGCGTTTTCTTCTGTAAATACAACGACCCAATTTATGTCAAGGTTACCAAGCTCGAGCTCATCTTTATGCTGGCCACTGAACGCAACATCAAGGAGGTGCTGACTGAGCTGGCAGAGTGAGTTTCTACCTTTTCAACTTGCCTTGACCCACTCAACTAACAACAATTAGATATGCCACTGAAATCGATGTCGATTTTGTCCGAAAATCCGTCCGTGCCATCGGAAAGCTCGCCATCAAGATCGCTCCAGCAGCCCAGCTCTGCATCAGCACTCTTCTCTCACTTGTCAGTACAAAGGTATCGTACATTGTGCAAGAAGCGACGGTTGTCATCCGAAACATCTTCCGCAAATATCCCAACCAATATGAGTCCATCATCTCGACACTATGCGAGAACCTCGACTCGCTTGATGAACCCGAAGCAAAGGCCGCCATGATCTGGGTGATTGGTGAGTATGCAGACCGAATAGAAGACTCTGACGTTCTTCTTGAGGATTTCTTGGACACGTTCCAAGAAGAAACACACGAGGTGCAGTTGGCTCTTCTCACCGCCACAGTCAAGTTGTTTATCCAGAGACCTACTCGAGGATCGGCCATTGTGCCCAAGGTGCTCAAGTGGGCAACGGAAGAAACGGACAATCCGGACTTACGGGACCGAGGCTATATGTATTGGCGTCTTCTTTCTTCGGCACCCGAGGAAGCGAAAAAGGTGGTCATGGGGGAGAAGCCTCCGATTACAGCCGAAGAGTCTGAGAAACTGGACCCTGGCACTTTGGAGGAAATGTGTCTTAATGTGGGGACACTGGCAACCGTCTACCTCAAGCCGGTGAACCAAGTGTTCCGCAGCGCACGGCCGCGAAAACTCCAGGATTCGCCGGCTTTGCAAAAGGAAGAGCTGCCAACGTTCAAGGCAGCTCAACAAGCCCGGGAGCGCTCTGCGGCCGAGCGAACTAGGCTGGACGTGACGACGAATGGCAATGGCAGTCTCAGCCCCAGCAACGGCAACGGTATGGCAGGTGCTGTGAATGAAGCTGACATGTACTTTGCGAGTGTGGGCCGACAGAGCTCATTTGGCGGAAGTCCAATTACTGCGGATCCAGTTGGGGGGATTGGAGGGGGATGGGTAGTTAATCAGAATGAGCCGCAGCATATGGTGATTAGCCCAGGGGTCAATGATGGAAATCAAGACTTGCTGCTTTGAGCAATTTGCAGAGCGGAGTGTGGACATAGAGTAATAATACACCTACAAGTCAGACATGACTCGCCATTGCCATCAGGTCCATGACGTACCGCAAGAATATCCTTGAATCGTAGGCTAAGAGAAATAACAAGTGACCAAAAAGAACTGCACACTATTGTAGCATGACTCAAACCACTGTCACAAACGTACACCTTGTTTGAAAGGAAGCACACCCAAGGCTATCATGATCATGTTCAACAGCCATGAACCCCGCCTTTGTCTGCTCTTCAGTCATCGGCCAGTAGTGGTGCCCTCTCCCTATCCTCGCTGACCACGTGGCCGCGTGGGAAAGGATCACGGCCCAGCAGACCCGGCACGCCGACAGCAAGACTGAGCACGAACAAGAGGCCGCCAATAGTAAAAGCGAAAATCCACTGCAATTGCAGAATATGTGGGCGAGTGAGAAACTGACCCACTCCGGTTGCTGGATTGGAACAACATTAGCGGATAGTTCTTTTTTTTTTTCAACATGTTTTTATGCAAGACAAGGAAAAGAAAAAAGGACGTACAAAACGCCAGAAGCGACAAGGCAAATCCCATGGTATAGTCCTTGTAGGCCACAAGGAAGAATAGGCCAAAGGCAAGCCAGCCCCAGATGAAGAGATTGCAAACAATGCGGAAAGCCTCATGATTTGTGTGCAAGGCAATGGCACCGCACCAGTCGAGGGCGACAAAGTTCCATGCAAGCGGGCCGCTGACGATGCCAATGTGGATGGCGCGGGGCGTGTTGCTGTGTCGAAAGTAGGCAAAAGCCAGATTGAAAAAGTTGATGACGAGCAGCACCTCTGCGAGCCAGAAGTGGCTGCGCACAAAGAGATTGACAAAGCCAAAGAGCAGCAGGTTGTTGGCAATAAAATGAGAGCCAATGTTTGCTGCTGCGGTTACGTACACCGTGTCGCTCATGTACAGAGCGTAAGCATACACGAGCTGCGCGGCAAACAGAATCAGCCAGTAGATCGACGTGAAGAGGCTACTCTGTGCAAACGGCGTGGGGATGTTGTTCTGCCAGAAGCGGTGGGCGCCATGGCCACTGGGGGCATGGAACGTGTAGTAGAAGGTGGTTATGACGACGAGGAGGTAGCTGAGCGATGTAGTGATTTTGTAGAGGAGTATAGCCTGGGAGGAATGCTCATCGCGCTTTGCAAAGGGATTCAAGCTGCTGCGGCTTGAGCCATTACTTATGGGCGCGGATGACTCCATGGCAGCTGATGGCGGGGGGGATGTCAACGTTTACTGCAAATCAATAGAGACTCCGGTCAGACTTGACTGTGCTATAAAACCGATGGCAGAGTGCGGACGAAGGGGAAGTGGTACGAGGGGAGGGAGGGAGGGAGGGAGGGAGGGAGCGAAAATGTAGGAAGAGGGGAAGAGAGGGGGAGAAGAAATGGACAGCAGAAGGTAAGAAGGGCTAGTAAATAAAGACGCGGAAGGTACCTGCCTGGGACGAAACGCATAGGTGCGTCTACGCCACACTCGCTTGCTCCGTTTCTTCCAAACAAAAGAATACCCGCTTTACCCTTTTGCCCTTGCCCTGCACCCAAAGCACGTCGTCAGCCATCAGCCTGCGGCAGGACGGCCAAACAGGAAACAAGACGGACATGACTAAAACGACGAAATTCGGCAGGCATGAGAAAGACGAGAGGCAGAAACAAGAAGAAGAAAGACGAGGCAAGCAGCGTTCCCCTCTCTCCCCTCTCACGCCTTGTCTCTTCATTTCGTGCACATGGTCACCACAGGCATTGGGCATGGGAGACGAGTGGCCAAAACCCAAACGTACGTCACACACGTACGCTAACGGAGCCATGCAGGCCGCATGTCGCGCGTTGGTCTGCCCCAAAAGGCCCCCCCCCCCGGCCCAGGCGCGCCATCCCTGTCTCTTAGAAGAGTAATGGGCAGCCATGATTGGCAAACGGGCCATCCACCCACATCCCCCTTGCAACCTTTTGAATGCGGGGACTGCAGCCATTGCCGTCAGGTCACTGCCCGTCTACTGTAATACGAATACTGCACGAGTACCACATGAGTGCGGAATGGGGCAGATGGGCGCTTAGCCAAGATGGCCCTACACGCTCTCGGATATACATACGAGCGTGTACCGCGGTAGGCCAATGCCACACACACACACGCACACATCGCCAATCATCAGTAGACGAGAGGGCGGAAAATTCGTCTTGTGATCCAACATATTAATATACTTTGACCACATACACAGCCAAGACGTGAATAATAGAATGTTCCCATTGGACAAAATTGCACCATCGGCGCTGACCACTGCCCAATGGTCAGACTGGGGGTATCTCCAACGTGCACACTAGCCTGGGCAACCACTACAAACCACCACCGGCTCTACACATCAAGTACTACTCTACACAAAGTCCCACGCTAAGCGATCGCTACCTCGAGGCTCAAATCAAAAGAAGGCCCGACTCGTCAGCCCTTGGACCCTCAGATCCACCTCACGGCTCCTGACCCGATTCGCTTGCGCATTACAAAAAGGAAAAAACAAAGTATCCCCCACCATTTGCCAGCAAACACCCAGCCAGACATGGTCAGACAGAAACAGCTATCGGACATGCGTAACCCGGCAATAACCCCTCTATATATTACAATCGCTATAATCTTGAACACAAATGCATCGCAAAACAAAATCAACTCATCCATGGAAATCGAAATAATGCTACTGGGAACACGTCGACAAGTGCGTTAGCGAATGCGCCTATCTGGCACCCCATCCCTTCCTGGACCCTGTGTCCGTACCTGTTTGCCCCGATCCATCAGCGCTCGACGCAAAAGGTATTGCACCATTCGCCGTGAAGACGGGAAGATCACTTCGCTTGCTCGGAGGTGACATGGGTGTCATCGCAGCCATGTCCGTAGTCTCGGCGTGTGTGTTGGCCACCCACTGCAAAGTTGCCGACGCTTGCGGGTCAGAGACATTCGATGACGCTGCAAAACTCGGTGCGGTACCAAAGCTCTCAGTCGTGTAATTGACAAACTGAGGCATGCTTGTAGGCGGTGGAGGCGGTGGTGTGTCGGCGCGAGAAGGTGGCGAAGCGTTTATCAATGGCTCCGCCACGGTAACAAACGATGGCATCGGCAGGTGCTCGCGGATCTGCTCTGGCGTGATGGTCATGTCGTGTAGCTCCGTCGGTGGCTGCACGATTCCACCAGAAATCCGTCGGTCGGCTCCCAAGGCCCTATCTGGAACTTGGGTTCCGTCAGGAGACTGTCGGGTCCCATTTTGCACCAGTCCAGATGCAGACTGAGACGAAACTGGCTGAGGCTGCTGCAGAGTCGCCGCGGCAGCAGCTTGCACGTAGGGATCGTCAGGCACAGGTGTAGATGCCTTCGATTCCTGGGGAGAGGTAACCTTGGAAGACTTTAATGCTCGTCCCGTACCTTTTTTGGCAGTGCTCGTCGCTTTCGCTGCGGGCTTGGCAGGAGCTGCACGAGCCGCTGGCGCTTTTCGTGTCCCCGTCTTCTTTGGAGCTTCTGCAGCCTTGAGCTTTTCTTCTCTCTCTTTTTCACGAGCGTCGTGCTCCTCCTTCGAGGGCATCTTCAGTGTAATGCGTTTCAGACCAGAGGTCAGTGTCTCGACATCATCGTTGTCCTTACCCTTGAGTGCGGCATTCGTGCTGGAGTAGTTTGATTGCGCGCGTGGTGCAGAAGGACGCTGAGGAGCGCGAGCTGCGGCTGCTGCTGCTGCTGCTGTCTGGCTCCGTACTTTCTTCAGACCAGCCTCATTGACAGGTGCTGTTGAGGGAGCTACGGCGCTTCTACTCGTTGCGACACTGGGCTCACGACTCGAACTTTTACGATCTCCTATTGAAGACACGCTCGAAGCAATACTCATACGACGTGAGGCAGATGGCGCCGGTGGAGCCTCGGAGCTGGCTGGAGCAAAGTCAGCAATGGTTTGCCTCCTACTTGCTCGAGACTCCTTTTGATGCGACTTCTCGTCTCCCGAGCTACGCTCAACGTATGAAGGTGCAGCTTTGCGGCCACGCAACTGCCGCCCTGACTTGTCCACATGTACAGAAGTCAGTGCTGGCTGAGCCGGTTTCTCTTTCTTTACTTTGACTTCCATGAGATCTTCTGGCTTGTGGCTATGCGTCTGTCGATCAGTAGGAATCAACAGACTGCTGAGAGCTTGGGCAGCAGTGGCCCAATCAACCTCTGGTGGAGGAGGTGTGGGCGCTCTCGAGGGACTGGAGGCATATTTGGCAGAGAGGTTACGGGTAAGCTTGGAGGGATCAACAACTTTGGCAACAAAAGACTGCGTGGGCGATGAGAAGTGAGCATTAGGTCCAGGGGGCGGCTTCTTTGGAACGGCCAAGGGAGCGGGATTGACAAGATTTTCAAGTTCTGTTAGATGGGTCGAGTGCCACCAAAAAGGATCATAGCCTAGAGGCGTAGCTTCCGTCTCTACAGACTGCATCAAGACATGCTGATCGTCAACGCTGAGGGCACCAAGTCGATCGCGCACAGAGGATGCAAGACCTGTTGCGAGCTTGGCATCGGTCCAGACTTGGCCATCTACAAGACCACTGAGATGGCTCATGACGCCACTAGTGAGCGCTCGGTCGCTATAGCCACCTTCAAGAACGGAGATGACGCGACCTTGGACGGATGTGCCCTCCTCCTCAGCCAAGCGAACAACATCACGAGTGAAGCGGGCGTAGAATTCGGTAGGTACATTGACGGAATGACGCTGCATGCCTGCAGTCTCCCATTCACTTGCGTCGAATCCGGCAGACAGGAAGATGGCAGCCTTGGGCGCTGGATGGTTTGGTGAAGTTCGTAGACGGTTGGTGTGATATCGGAGGTACTGTCGCGTCTTGTCGAGCAGGACCATGTACTTTTCTTCGTAGATGGCCCAGAACTGCTCCACGGTCTTCCAGGGCTGCAAGTGCACATTCCAGATGGACTGGCCGTGTGCGTTGTCGATACACAAGCTGGCG